TCTGCTGGCGCTGGTGCGTCTGAGGGTGCTAGAGTTGGCGCTGTTGGAGCTGGAGGTGCTACTGGCGCTTGTGCTGCCGCTCGGAGTACTGGTGCTGTCCCTGCTGATTCTGGAAGCGCTGCGCGGCTGCGGCCGTACTTCGTTCCGCTCCTTGAGCAGGTTCTTGGTCTCCCGCCCTCTACTGGTCCTGCTCCTCCCTTAGAGTGTCCACCGCCTGTCTAGTCGCAGTCACAGTTACAGCCCGCCTCCCCCCTACCTGCTCCTTCTCCCTACACTAGTCCTACTAGAGGTCTTGCTGAGCGTTGTGAGCCTGCGTCTCGTCTTGCGTTGCCTGTTCGTGCTGCTCGCACTAGTGGTCGTGCTCCGCGTCCGCGTCCTCCTGCGGTTCCAGGCACACACCAGATGGCGCTGCGTCCTTCCACTGCTCCTCTACGTGTCCCGTTGTCGTCTCCTCCTGAGTCCTCTCTTCCTGTTCTTCATGACCCGGAGTCTGACTCTCTTCGTGCTGCCAGTCCTATTGTCACGCGTCTCCTAGCCACTGTTGTCACTGACCCTTCGTTTGAGTACACTACTGCGTCGGCCCTCGTTACTGAGCTTGTCGACTTTGCTGCTCGCTGTTGTCTAGACTACGCTGCTAGTCTTGTTGCCGAGTCTGAGTCTGTCTGTCCTCCGTCTGTTGGGGTTGAGTGTGCTCTTAGCACGGACGTCCTTGAGGACAGGCGGGAGGAGTTCCAGTGTTTTGCTGCTGCTTTGCCTCATCTCGTGTCCACGCTGATTGCCCCTGAGGGAGACCCGGATGCACCAGACATCCCGACTCCTCGATCGTACGCTGAGGCGATCGAGGGTCCCTACTCCTCTCAGTGGCAGTCAGCCATGGATGCAGAGATGGCTTCCTGGAAGTCCACAGGCACCTACGTCGACGAGGTTCCCCCACCTGGGGCGAACATCGTCAGTGGCATGTGGATTTTCAAGGTGAAGCGGTCCCTGGGCTCTCCGCCGGTCTTCAAGGCACGTTACGTGGCTCGAGACTTCAGTCAGCGGCAGGGAGTTGACTACTTTCAGACCTTCTCTCCCACCCCAAAGATGACCACTCTTCGGGTGCTGCTGCACATAGCCGCTCAGCGCGACTACGAGCTTCACTCTCTTGACTTCAGCACAGCGTTCCTGCAGGGCAGCCTGCACGAGGAGATCTAACTGCGCCGCCCACCTGGCTTCACTGAGTCGTTTCCTCCTGGTACCTTGTGGAGTCTCCGGCGGCCAGTCTACGGTCTCCGCCAGGCACCCCATGAGTGGCACGACACACTGAGGACTACACTTGCGGCTCTTGGGTTTGCTCCTTCTAAAGCCGACCCGTCGCTGTTTCTGCGCACCGACACCTCTTTGCCGCCGCTCTACATCCTCGTGGATGTCGACGACTTGGTCTTTGCCACAGCTGACACTGCTGGACTCGCCCACGTTAAGTCCGAGCTGCAGAAGAGACACACGTGCACAGACCTGGGTGAACTGCTCAGCTACCTTGGCTTGCAGATCACCCGGGACAGAGCACAGCGCACCATTACCCTGACTCAGTGACACATGGTGCAGCAGGTCCTTCAGCGCTTCGACTTCACGTACTCCTCGCCTCAGGCCACTCCTCTGTCTACTCGCCACTCGCTCTCAGCTCTGCCTTCGGATGAGTCCGTAGAGCCGAGTGGCCCGTACCCAGAGCTTGTTGGCTGCCTCATGTACCTGATGACCTGCACACGACCTGACCTTGCATACCCTCTTAGCATCTTGGCACGCTATGTTGCTCCTAGGAGACACCGACCAGAGCACATGGCTGCAGCAAAGAGGGTGTTGCGCTACTTGTGCAGCACGTTGGGCATGGGGCTAGTGCTTGGAGGGCAACGTCGAGTGGTCCTCATAGGTCACGCAGACGCTTCTTGGGCTGACGACCAGGCTACGCAGCGGTCGTCACAGGGTTACACCTTCAGCCTTGGTTCCGGCTCTGTTTCGTGGCGGTCTACCCGCTCGTCTTCTGTTCTCGGCTCCAACTGTGAGGCTGAGATCTACGCGGGGGCCATGGCTGCACAGGAGCTACGCTGGCTCACCTACTTGCTGACTGACCTAGGAGAGCCGCCTCGTTCTCCTCCAGTTCTGTACGTAGACAACAAGGCCATGCTGGCCTTGTGTCGGGAGCACAGACTGGAAAACAGAACGAAGCACATTGCTCTTCGCTACTTCCTTGCTCGTGAGCTGCAGCAGCGTGGTCAGCTGCGCCTTGCTTACGTGGCCTTTGAGGCCAACACTGCTGATATCTTTACCAAAGCACTTCCGCCTTGTGATCATCAGCGCTTCTGTACGATTCTAGGTCTTGTGCCTACTTGGCCTCACTTGCTCACTTCTTGACCTTGCTTGTACTGTGATCTTTCTATACCTGCACTTGCTTGTTTACCTTTATATATGATCTTGCATGTGAATTGGCCTTGTGGCCTTGCTCTTGTGCTCGGACTGTGTGGTGATGTTGTGATCCACCCTGAGCTTGCTTTGCTTTGCTTGACTGGTCTTGTGACCTCTTGTTCTCCCCCACTTTGCCTATGGGGGTGTGTCAAACTCATATGCTATAGTCTGTGTAGGCTGTAGTGGGGTAGAGAATATGGGGTACAACATTTCTAGGTTTTCGTTCCCAGTTCATTCATGACAAAATTAGAAGAAAGAAGAGCAGTTGACTAGCAAGAATGGGGATAAAAATAGCAAACCCTAACAGGGTTGTACTCGCTATAGAGCACCCCACTACAGGCTAGATAAGAACATTCTGACACACCCCCATAGCCAAAGTGGGGTGTAATCAGCAGAGCAAGCAAAGCAGTACAAGCTCAGGGTGGATCACAATGTCACCACACATTCTGAGCACAAGTTCAAGAAGCAATAGTTTAAAGTTAAGAATTATGAGCAAAGCTAGAGGCTATCGCAGAGGGCAAGTGAGGAGGAGGAGGCGAGAGTGAGAGGAAAGGAGATAGAAGGCGACGGATGAAGCTGCAGACACACGGGCAACAGGAGGCAGACTGGCACAGCGGCTACCGGACGAAGCCCCCGGACTACAGGGGTAACTGGCCCCGCGGCTAAAGTAGCGGCAGACGAGCAACGGACCCGCGGGCGGCTGGCACAGCTGGCTACGACTGAGCTACCGGACGAAGCCCCCGGACTACAGGTGCTGCTAGCGACACTGCGGCATCCTTCATTCAGCTCCCCAAACAGTCTCACCCCCCCTTGCACACACCCCCTACTGCACCCCTAGGGTCACTCACACCCCACCCCCCAGCACGACTCCAGCGACTCCCACACACCCACCCCCCTCAGCGGCAGCTGCATCAGTGGGAGACAGAGAGTAGAAGTGGAAGTTGCAGCGGAAGCAACGAGGTGGTGGTAACCCACCCACAGGATCGATCCAAGGGGATCGACCTGCTCTGATACCATGAAAAAATTAGAAGAAAGAAGAGCGGTTGACTAGCAAGAATGGGGATACAAATAGCAAACCCTAACAGGGTTGTACTCGCTATAGAGCACCCCACTACAGGCTAGATAAGAACATTCTGACAATTCATTCCTCACTTCTTCACAGCTGGTGGCTCTGGAGGCGCTGGTGGCTCACGGGTATACCACCTGTCCTCGGTAAGTTGCCATGTGCGGCGTAGTTTTTTCTTGAACAGGATGTGAGTCCCACTAAATTCCGCCATGGCTTCGCATGCCAGGTGGGCTAGACAGGAAACTGAATGAAAAAATTAGAGAAGAGCGTGAAGAAATGGGCAACGACGGGGACCCCTGCTGCGTGGCGGCTCGGGTTCTTTGTCCATGACAGGCAGGAAACCCCCGCCTACTCGCGTAGAGGCGCCTGTGTGGAAACATCTACGCTGCGATGGTAGGGAATCTTGCCGAACCTTCGAGATGGTTCTGCCCGAATGCACATGCCACGCAGCGCATGCGGCTCTGATAGGGCCGCACGGCAACATCCCCGTCACGCTGTCAAGTTCGATGGTTCCAGACAACATTGTGCGGTGGGAAACCGAACCGCAGCTGTTTCTGCTTGAAAACCATGCACGATCCCACTTGGTGCATGGTCAGATGAGTTCGCCGTATTGATAGCTTCACTTTGGTATGTTTAAAAGTGAATTTCATTTTTTCCCTTATACAAGCGCATGCGCTTATATATCTGATTCAATTATAAGCGCACCCCCCCAAAAAACACTGTTTTATTATAAGCGCAGGTGCGCTTATATCCGGGGTAATACGGTAAAGCGAGGCCGACATGACAAGCTTTAACTACGTAAACTCCACCTTTCCCCTCCACCCCCCACCTCCTCATTCCCCCCTCCACCCCCCACCTCATTACCCCCTCCATCCCCCACCTCCTCATTCTGCCCTGAGATTACCGAGTCTGCAGATGGAGCAGGACAAACTGTTCCAAATTATCCAGACATTATAGCTCAAGCTTTGAGAAAAAATCATTCCGTCATCGCCCGGATATAAGACATATATGTCTTATCTCGTACACGGGCAAAAATGCTAGAGTTATCTTGTAAACGGGATGGTTTAGGGTGTCTTATAAGTCTTATAAATGGAAAAAAAAAATAAGTTGACTGTAACACTTGCAAAGTGTGTAGAAACCACCCAAAGACCAATTTCATTTAAACAGGCCGACCTCGGTGGTGATGCATGCAGCGCCCACACTTTCCACGTGAGGGAGCTACCACCGCTGGCAACATTCCTCTGTGCTGGCAGCATCTAATGATGCTGCTAGCGTCGTTTTGCTGTCAGGAGCGCATGGATGCTTCCAGAACGCTGCTGGCAGCACGTTGGCAGCGTGAGGGCTGTCCTCTACGAGGAGATGCCTCGTAGAGGAGCGGCTCGGCACCTGTGGATGGGGCACTCTGGCTGGGGGGGGTAGTCGGGCTCTCACTTCATTTCGTGCTCAAGGAGGTTGAATACTCGTCTCAACCTTGCTCTCGGCAGGCTCTCTAACCATGCGCAGCAAAGTACCAGTAGGCAAGTCCTCACCTCGTCCTCACGTGCAGGTTAATAATTACGGGCGAATTAACTCGCCCGGCGATGACATCCGTGTAGCCATGGCGAAGAACGCGAGCAAGGCGGCAAGTCCTACCGCCGCCTCCGGCGCGAGCTGTGACGGGGACGACGGAGACGAAGCGAACTGCGACGACGTCGAGGAGGATTGGCCGGAGAACGGCCACGACGACAGCGCTTCAGGCGACGATGTAGGTCCTGCTGACATCGAGGAGGATGACTGGTGGAATCGGCCGGTCGGGAGCGACGACGAGGTGGAAGAGTGGCATGCTGGTGATTCCGACAACGACGGAGGTAAAGATGCGCATGGTAACAACGCGGAGGCAGCGGCGGATGCACAGGAAGCGGCGGTGGATGCGAATGAGGAGGCTGACGACGAGGCGGGGGCGGAACTTGAGACATTTGCGCCTGCGGATGCGGCCGCAGTTGCGGATGCGGAAGGCGAGGAAGGCGGCGACGACGACCCATAGAGCTTTGGGACCGACGACGACGTCCCACTACTGAAGCGGAGGCTGCGCCATTGCCTACAGTCCAAGTCAAAGCGGGCCCGCGTGGTGCTCTCTGACGATGACGGTCCAGGGGAGGAGCGTCGCCCGATACTCACCGCTACGGAGAAGGGGAAAGCCAAGGTCGCGGAAGCCCCTGCTAAAGCCCCTGCTCGTCGCCGCACAAGCAACAAGAAGCTGACATCCGACGGAGACCCGGGATCCAGCAAGGGTGCGGCTAAGAAGAAGGCGAAGAAGGCGCCGAATCCTGACGACATCGTCATGAACGAGCCGCTGGGCAGCGACGATGAGTACGCGGCGGCGGCGGGCCCGATCCCCACGTTCCCTGAGAAGGTAACGCCGAGGAACCCCACCCTCCATAATCCCAACACCCGCCCACCTTCCCCTCGCAGCAAAGACACTACGAAGAAGCGCCGTAGTTGGACCGTGCGTGAGAAGCTTAAGTGGGCGCGCCGCTATCAGGAGCTCGGCTCCTTGAAGAAGACGAGCGTGGAGTCAACCGCGTCCATCGCCTGCATTAGACGCTGGTGTGCGGAGGCGGAAGCGGGCGTCTACAAGGGCGCGGCCAACTGCCGCAAGCGGATCACGGAGGGGGGGGGCGCCACTCACACTACCCCGACATGGAGGCAGCGTTGTATAGCTACATCTGCCTTCAGCGCGCTAACGAGGTGGCCATCTCGGTGAAGGACACCCAGAAGTGGAGCCGCGAGTGGATGAAGAAGCATTACCCCGGCAAGAACTGGAACGCGAGCTCTCACTGGAGCCAGCGTTTCCGTGACCGCTGGAACCTGGTGATGAGGGTGAAGACCAAGGTCGGCCAACGTCTGTCGGCAGGTGCGTGTTGAAGGATTTCGTCTGGCGCTCTATTGAATGCATGTACCTCACCCAGTGTCTAACCATCCCGTGCTTCCGTTGCGCTTGTCCCGTTTGCAGAGTGCGCGAAGGACTGCGAGTCCTTCTAGAAGTTTGTGCGCATCAATGGGGCGCGGCACAAAATCGACCTGGCCCGCATCATCAACGCGGACCAAACTCCACTATTCGTGGAGATGCCAGCCGAACGGACGATCAAGCACCGTGGCGCGCGCTCGGTCCTAATCCGCACTGCAGGCTACCAGAAGACGCGTTTGACGGTGATGCTCGCGTGCACTGCATCCGGGGAGAAGCTGCGGCCGTGGGTGTGGTTCAAGATGAAGAACGTCCCCAACTGTGAGATTCCGGAAGGTAAGCGAGCGTGAATTCAACCGTGCGACTGCCTGATGAGCGTGCCCCACTGTGCTGATGCCCGTCTGTCCCTTGTGTGCCTGGCAGGAAACGTGGTCCAAGCACAGGACAACGGGTGGATGGACGACACCGCTGTGCAGACCTGGCTGTCCAAGGAGGTGCTGCCCCATCTGAACCCCCAGCGCGGCCAGAACGCAAGGCGGGCGATGCTGGTGTTGGACTCCTACCGCGGTCACATCACCCAGACCATGCTTCAATCGTACCGCACGCACAGCATCACCCCTGCAGTCATCCCAGCGGGTTGTACGAGCCAGATTCAACCCCTGGACGTCTCCATCAACCGGTGCTTCAAGGCTGCTGTGCGAGCGCGCTACGCCAGGTGGTTCATGCGTGAAGGGATTCACCTGAAGACGAAGAAGGGTGAGTTGGTCCTTCATTTACGGTTTTATTCATGTTCCGTTTCATGTCCTTGTCTTAAACATGCTCCTTCATATCCGTGTCTCTTACATCTCGCTGCCCCGTCCTCTGTCCCACCCGCAGGGAACCTGCGGAGGCCTCCGCACCCCGTGGTGCTGCAGTGGATCGCGGAGGCTTGGGATCAAGTCCCCAAGCAGATCATCGACGCGTTCCGCCACTGTGGGATCTCGAGCAAGCTGGACGGAACAGAGAACCACCTGGTGATGTCTCACCTGCGCACCAGGAGCACCACCGATGTCTCCGCGGACATGTCTCTCGGGGGGACCACAGGCGACAACACGCGCCTGCTCGGTCGGGCTCCAGAGGAGGAGGAGGCGATGCAGGCGGAGGGCGTGCGGGAGGTGGCCGTGGCAACCGGCCTGGAGGTGCTGTACCAGGAGACCCCCAACTACCGCGGAGCGGCGGCCGAGGCTGACCGCATGATCGAGCCTAGGGAGACGGCTAGGCATGCCTGGCGACTGCCAGACCTGGGTGTAGAGCCTGATGTTAGTGCAGGTGAGGAGGCGGTGACTGAGGGGGGTTATGTAGAAGTAGAGATTCATGACTGTATGCATGTACCCCCCTAAAGTAGGAAAGCTAGCTAAGAAGACACCCCCTGTTTATAAGGAAACCCCTAAACCCTGGTTCTGATTATAAGACGTATATGTCTTAATTCGTACACACAAATAGGTGTCGTATAAAAAGGCTAGCTTGTTTATAAGAGACACCCGTATAGTAGACAACCCCTGTCTACTATTCAACACTGTCTTATATCCGGACGATGACGGTTATTATTTCTCCAAAGGTATTACGTAGATGCAAGTTGGATAAATGAAGAGGGATGCAAAACTTCAAGGGTGATGCCGAATGTACACAAAAAGCGCCTATATACTCATACAACAAACTCCCAATGGAAGGGGATGCCATGCCACCTTTCCCCGTACACACAAAACCCTTTGAACACAGATCTAGTTTAGCGCCTTACACATACTCTATGTACATATAAGTTCGAATTAAGTTTTACTGCACTGTCACTTCCGCGACTGGAAGCTGATAGCGAGCGTCATTCATTACAATGACATCCCCGCTCTCCCTCACCACCGCCTTCTTTTCCACAAGCAGCAGAAACGTGATTAGTTTCGTGCCGCCATACCCACTGCGACTAACACCATCCCTTGACTGAGAGTAACTTGCTGCAGTTGCCATATCCTTTGTGAACCAGTCTCCCAGTGGACTGCTAGAGCGGCGATTGGGGCACATTCCGTTCCGTAGGATAGGGTCGAAGCTGCTAGACCGAGTGCCATGAAACGCGAGCTCCAAATTTCCTTTCTCCGCGCTGTCCATGTATGTCAGACCTTTGACTTCGGGGTTTGGAGAGTGCAGAAGAAAGGCAAGCATGTTTGGAAAGTTTTGTCTCGCGAAGAGACACACCACGCGAAGATGCGTTTGTTTCTAAACAGCACGACTCAGCACCTTGCCTCTCACCGATGATACTAGGAGTTTTAGAGAGGCAATTTCTGTATGAAAGAAAGGGAGTTACCTAGTGCAGCATCAGCCGGTAGGTTCTGCGCAGTCGCGAGGAACCGCGTGAGCATTGCGGAGCCAGGTGTAAGGTAGGGGTTCTTACGAACTTCCACCACCGAGCTGCACCGCTGACCCACCACGTGCCGAATGTACGCCTCCGTGGTGAACGCATCAATAATGCGACTCCAGACCTGCCATGACGCACCAGATTGAATCAGTGACGCTGTGTATCGAAAAGCCAGGACTGAAATGGAGTGCTAGTAGTGATAGACGAAACATTTGCCTTGGCTACACCACTCGGACCGAATGGACTGCGAAGGAGCAGGAGATGCCAGGAGACAACAGACAGCTTACCACGGACGGGGTCCTCAATGCGTCGCTTAGGTTCTTGAGCGACAGCTTTGGAATAACCAGAACTGGCCTTCCCTGATCGGCTGTGGGGTTCCGTTGCTCCATAGTCTGCAGATTCAGCGTGTAAGATTGACCGTTAGGGTAGACTTTCGACGTGAAAACACCCAGGTTCACTTCTTGGAGGCCCAGAGAGGCCGCCTTGAGGATTGCGCGGGACGTGGCGCGATCGTAGGGCCGCCATTGGTCGTCGTCGCGCCAGTAGATGCCGGGAACGTCGGGCTCCGAGCAGGGGAGGAAGTTGATGCACATGGTGTCGGTTCCAATTCACCGTTGAGATAAGAATGATGTGATTTTCACTATTCTTCCGCTACTCACGGTGCTCGCGCTGCTACTTTCGGCAAATTCGTCCGAAGGGAAGGAGAGAGCCTGAGGGTGAAGGCGCATTGTGTCAACGATAGGCGGCATCGCGGAATTTATGGTCGCGATGTGGAGTCGCTGCGCCTGGGCGACACATTCTAACTGGCAGTTACCCCAGACTCCAACCCTGTTCAGTTTACCTGTATAATCTCAAGTATCGTTAGTAATTTTCTAACTATCACGCATACCCATTTTTTTTCTCCCCAATCACGTCGCGAGCGACTTTAGAGTGTTATCTAATAATCTAGCTGTCATTTTGTCAACGCTGACAACCCAGAAAGAGTAGGGTAGTATTGAGTTTGACCCCATCCCCTTCCTCCACCCCCTCTGCCTCGATACTCCAAATTCGCTTACCTCGGGAACTCCATTTTTGCATCCAGCCCCCCTCGGGAATTCCCTTTTGCCTTGAAGACACCTGTTCAGCTTACCTCGGGAGCTTTTGATTCACGCCGTGAAGCTCATCGCTTCTACATCGGAACTCCCAACTCTTTCTAGCCTATCTCGTTGGCGTGGGAGGCGACCCAGAGGCTATGCTGCTGCTCCAATCGCAGACGTTACCAGTACGGCCAAGGCTTCCTGATAGCTGGATCGCGACTTGGACCGCCAGCCATTCGTTCGAGGTGCAAGGGAGGTATTGAAACGGGTGGTGTGAGAACACGACAGCGTATGGCGTGGGAACTGGCGTAGCAGGGCGAGTACAGTCCAGAGCCTGCATCTGTTCTGGTCCCGAGAACTTTCTTCACATCTTTATTGACAGTCTCGCTCTAAGCGCGAAGACCAGCAGCGCAGGAGTATGAACAAATAATATGCGGCTTTACTTCGTTTTAGGTTGCTGGAGGAGTGGCACCATGCATCCCACCTCACATTCTGCAGAGTTCTTCTGTGTTTTTGGAAACCAGCCGGACATCAGACAGTCAGACCAATCCAATCAAGTAGGCTACTGAACGCTCTCATTCAGCAACTCCAGACATCAAATACAAAACCAAACCGCAAAACAAACCAGGCCTATACCACCGAGGCGAGCCTAATCCTTGGTGCAGAATATTTACAAGAAAGCACACCAATGTGCTGCGGAAACAGGGTAGTACCATTCAGGGGTGGCAGCACCCAAATCTACCAGCAGCAGGAGCAGCAGGGGAGAAACACACAGCCTGGAATACCAGGGAGACTGCTGAGATAGACCTTCAATCACTATTGAAGCAGCAAAAAGTGGTTGGGCCTCTGCAGGAGGCCCCAGGGAGCATTGTCTTGTCAACCACACTCAGCTTAATCAGCAGCAGATGGAGCAGCCACCACTTTTTGGACCAGAGGGGTTGAGAGCAGTATCAGGCTGTTTCTGTGTCGATCTCCTGAGGATTCAACACTTGATTCGGGCCGGCTGGAGGCCCCAGGGAGCATCGGTCCGTGCTGTGTGTCTCCAGTGCCTCCTTTATTTTAGCAATCTGATGTGAATGGTGGAGAGTGGATAGGGTGGGGAGAGACAAGAGAAACAACGCTTGGTGCGGGTTGGCTGGAGGTCGCAGGGAGCATCTTTCCGTGCCGTGTGTCTACAGCGCCTCTTTTATTTTCGCAATCTGATGTGAACAGAGGATAGTGGACAGAGCCGGGTAGGAGGAAAGGGTGGGGTGGGAGAGGGGACGGGAGGGGAAGGAAGTCGATGGGCAACAACACAGTGTGGTTGACTCCCCTGTTTCCTTGATTTTAGCAATCTGAAGTAAATGATGTATAGTGGACGATAGTGTATGCGACTGGCAGAGCTGGTTGTTCGAGTCGAGTGAGGCGACTTTTGACATGACTCAAAAGTCACCTCGATAGTGTATGCGACTGGCAGAGCTGGTTGTTCGAGTCGAGTGAGGTGACTTATGCGTTCACCTCGGTTTGTAATGGGCTTAGAGGATGCTCCCAGCACGAGGTACCGAAGTGAGGGTGACAGGGCACGACGTACCGGCGTCCAGCAGGCCGTCAGCGCTCTGGAAGTGGAAAAAAGGTAACCGCTTGATGCCGACCCAAGCTAGCTTCAGAGCTGCTCGTTCAAGTCGTAGTGAGGTGACTTGTGTGTTCACCTCGCTCTTGTGTTCACCTCGCTCTTGAGTGGAATCTAAGGGAGCACTCGACATGACATACCGAAGTAAGGGTGGCGGGGAAAGCGTCTAGCAGCCCGTCAGCGCCCCGATAGAAGTGGAAGAAAGGCAGCCGCTTGATTCCGAGCGACCGGCACAGCTGCTTGTTGGGGTCGAACTCGACCTGCAGGAAGATGACGTCCGGATGCCTCGACGCTAGCATGCAGAGCTGAGAGGTGAGAAGTGGGGGGAGGGGGTAAAACGGAGGGAGAGAGGAGGGAAGAGTAAGAAACCGGCAGAGGTGCTTGTTGGGGTCGAACTCGACCTGCAGAGAGATGACGTCCGGATGCTTCGACGCCAGCATACAGAGCTGAAAGGGGGAGGGGAGAAAGGAGACGTGTAGGGAGAAGTGGGCAGGTGGGTTGCGGAGAAGAGGGGGACGGGAAAGAGTTGCTTGTTGCGGCCAAACTCGACTTGGAGGAAGATGACGTCAGGGTTCTTAAAAGCCAACATGCACAGCTGTGAAGGGAAGGAGGGGGAGGAGGGTGAGGAGGGTGAGGAGGGGGAGGAGGGGGAGGAGGGTGAGGAGGGGGAGGAGGGGAGCAGTGTGAGGAGGAGAAGGTGGGACAGGATGAGGGGAAGGAGCGGGGGAGCTGTTTCACAACGTAGGGACGCAGAAGGTGCACGTAGAAGGTATTTTTGAGGCGCCTCAAAAATCGCAAGAAGCGGGAGAGCTGTTCCACAACGTAGGGACGCAGAAGGTGCACGTAGAAGGTATAGGGCACGTAGGAAAAATCTCACCTTAGGGTGCATGGCGCGGCACGAGCGGCACCAGGTCCCGAAAAAGTCAACCACCACGAGCTTATCCCCCGCTGCGCCTAGCGCCTCCACGAATTCCGCTGTGTTCGCCACGTGTCGCATGTTCGCGGGCACGCGCCGCTCCCACCAGTTTTCGCTGGAAGGAAGGGGAATCTGGTTTCCCGCGCCCACTCCTGCGCCGATTCCTACGCCAAGCCCCGGCATGGGTTGCGCAAGGGCGCTGCGGACGGTTATCGCCCCCCCGCGATTGCCTTGTAGCGAATCCGCGCTCCGCAGACTGCGCGGCGACGCGCGACGGGGGAGCGGTTGGGCGACGAGGCTAGACGAAAGCCCTCGCAGGCGTGACGAGGCGGAAGAAGCGGCGGAACGGGAAGGAGCAGCGGAGAAGGCGGAAGCTGAGGGCGCGGAAGACGCCTGCAGCGCGAGAGGCGGATGGATAGTCGCCATATTGAGCTGCTTTGAGTTGTTGGATTACGTTGGAGACGTGTCCGAGACTGGCAGTGGAAACTCGGGCAGACAAAAGGCCCGAGGATGAAGACGACGCTGACTGGCGGAGAGCTCACGCAGAAGGTGATCGTGACGGTACTTTACAGCGAAGTCCCAGCGAGGGTATTACGGATTCAACGCGCGTCGACGAATTTACATGTATTTGCTGGGGCTAGTGTCGCGTTGGATTGGATGCATGTGCCTCTGGGTCACCACTCCGCAACTAAGACTGCGGCCCTCAAGTGCTGTCGACAGCATGGGACAGAGAGACCCTACCAGAGGAGAGTGCATTTGAACAAGCGCGTTTTTTCTGAGATGGATTCTCGAGGGTGGCCCTGCCCACGAGAGTGTCACTCCTCTTGGGGAAGTGGCTGCGCCACTGGGATCTGCGCGCGGTCTACCCTATTCCCTCCAACACCCACCCACCGATTCAAACACATTGAAATCATCGATGACCACGACTCTGCAGGCACTCTGAGTGATTCATAGGCGGACAAAGGGATGTCGCGGAATCTTGTGGTGGAAAAGGGGGAAATGAGGAGGGGAAGGGAGAGTGTTGATTTCTTTGGAGATAGCGCGCCGATTCCAGGAGGGGAAACCAGATCTCCAATTCTGCGGTTGAGCGTGTGCGCAATCACTGGCTCAGGGTGGCCTTCAAGCGTGCCGCGGAGAGGAGGGCGCAAACAGCCTCTTGCCGAATGGCGTCGCGCGGTGGAGGCCAGTGATTGGCTCAGTCAATTTCAATCTTGCGAGCCACAGCAGCCCTAGATTGGTGCCTGTAATTCGCTGATGTGGCTGGGTGGCCGATTTTCAATGCAAGTGCATTCATACGGCATGTCTTGCCAGCTCCCCGTGCTGTGGCGAAACGTGCGGGGAGTGACGAGGCTGTAAAGGCCGCCTGCCCTGCTGGTGCCATGTCATATATACATCTTGATTCGTAAACTGCTATGACGCTATGAAGAACACCAAAACAGTTCCAGCTGTGTATAAAACATCCAATCACTTTTCATGACATCATCTGGTCCTGACATACATGCCACGAATATGAACATTGTCCCAGTGCAATCAATTATGTATGAGAATTTGATTTTATATCAGAATTACCGTGTTCCAACCAAACCCTTGGAAAGTTCACTTGTGGGTTTGCGCTTTGTATATGTATAAGCTTTATTATTGCTGCTTTACCACCACAAACACACACTCACTATCGAGGTATGTCGGCCCTTGCCTGTAATCCGCGCGTGCCGCGAGAGCACCCTACTGGCCTTCACACGTCCCTGGGTGTTCGCGCCACAAATTCTCCCAGCATCACGCGCGAAGTTCTCATAGAACCTCCTATTCGCACCCCCGCTTCGCGAGCCACGGTGTTATTTCGAAAGATGCTGGTTACTACCAATAAAAGTTGTGCCGAGGCATTTCCTAAGGCTGTGATCCTAAGCTAAGATGACCAAACTAGACGTGACCTAGCTGTGAGCGTGGCGTCAGTGCTTACCGAGCCAAGGGTTCAGGTACGAGCAGCCCATTTTGCTGGTCTTGGTGGTTGCGAGCGAGCCAGCCCTGGTTTGGCTCGGTCAGAGCCTCCGAGGCCTAGAAGTTGTCTTGCAGTACAGAGATCCCGAGGCAACTTGGCCCAACACCCGGCACTTTTTTCTCCTAAACTTGTGGCTTTTCACTAGATACCTGTCACAGACGCCTAAAACACCTTTACAGTGGTTAGTCCTATTGTACATCCCTCCTGGTGACTTCAGCAGCACGTTTGTTTTCAGCCATCATGGAAGACCGTAGTTAGTCAGTGAAGTCAAATTAGGTTATTCATGCTTGAGCGGGCTAGGAGTTACGGCTGATCAGAAAAGTTTACGACTTCCTATTGAGTTTCAACCCCACGGCACGTACCGCCATTTGACGTGCTCGTTACTGAGTAGGCTCTCCTATCGACGTTAAGGAACCAGATTAAACGTACGGTCAATTCAATATCCAATTTTACTTCGTTACTCCACTGCAACGCGATTAGATGTAGTTGTTTTGTCGGAAACAACAGCTAAGGATTATAGTCCCGTTTTCTCTACACAGCAGCAGAGAGGCTCAGGATTTTCGCCGACCAATAGGAACACGGTGCTGGCCATATTGTTTTACTGGACGTACGCCTGGCCGAGCAGCAGGCGTGACGTTTGTTATTTTATGCTGAACGACACAGCTGAAAGTTGATCTCTGAGCATATCCCGCGAGCCAAGCCGATCATTTGTCACGAAGTCTATTCTGATAACCAGCACCCGAAGATGCTGCTATCAGAGATGTCGCTTGTCTCAGCATCTAACGAGCTTGCCGGTTTGTCAACCAGAAGCGTTAAGAACCGTCCGATAGTCCCATTATGCAAGATTGTTTCATCATGAAAGCCGTCGTGGTGGCCGACACCCATAGACCACGTATCTAGAAGCTTATACCCTTTCCTCTCAAAAGCATAAATAGCGTAGCGACCAATTCATCATAATGAAGGCCATTGTGGTGGCCGGCACGCACAGCGGCGTGGGCAAGACGAGCGTCGCCGTGGGGCTCATGGCCGCCTTCCGCCGACGAGGTCTCCGCGTGCAGCCGTTCAAAGTCGGACCTGGTGCGAAACGATACAATACGATACCATACGTTACGATTCGATGCACTGCCGATCCACCAGGCTTTTTTCTTCTTCCCGTTTCCGACTCTGACTGAGGTTCCTGGATGGCTGATGCCGGCTTGGGACGTCTTCGGTCTGATATTTGAGCATGGCTGTGGCGCAGAGTTGTCAGCAATGGTATCTAGTCCCGATCCTTGTATCATATCCGAATGTCGCTGTCTGATATGACATGTCGTATGTGGTGTGTTCTACGTGGCATGTTGTCTGTGACATGTTGTATGTGGGATGTGGTACCATGCTTTATCTGGCATGGTGTGTATGACATTTCATTTGTGGATGTCCTGTGTGGTATGTTGTATGGGGAATGTCATACGTGGCATTTTGTATGTGGCATGCTCCATGTGACATGCTGCACGGGGCAACTTGGATGTGCCATGTCATGTGGGATGCGTGTGGCAGATTTTCTGGACCCCATGCACCATCAGGCGGCTACAGGCCGAGACTCGTACAACCTGGATGGGTGGATGCTCAACAGGTATGGTGCTGTTGAGGAGATGGGTGGGTGGGTGGATGGGTGGATCATGGGTGGGTGAGTGAGTAAGGTCGATGAACAGACGGGACTCATGCAACCTGGATGGGTGGGTGCTCAACAGGTATGGTCTTATTGAGGAGATGGGTGGATGGGTGGATGCTCAACAGGTAAAATGATATTGAGGAGATGGATGGATGGGTGGGTGAGTGGGTGGGTGAGTGTGTGGGTGAGTGTGTGGGTGAGTGAATGGGTGGGGTTGGATACATGGATGGATGGTTAGATGGTGGGGACATAGGTGGAGAGACGAGACTCGTGCAACCTGGATGGGTGGATGCTCAACATGTATGGCTTATCGAGGGAATGAGTGGATGGGTGTGATTGAGTGCATGGTTGAAGGGTGGGTGGTTGGGTGGGTGGCTGGGTGATGGTTGGGTGGACTGACGTACAAAGTGGATGGGTGTATTGTTGGGGGGACAGATGGGTGGGGGACGGATGGATGGCTGGTGGTTGGATGGGTGCATGGGTGAAAGGGTGGGTGGATCGATGGGTGGATGGGTGAATGAATGGATGGGTGCAGCAACGTTCCCTTGGTTCTTCTCAGTTTCCCCCCTTTCCCCCGCCGCCCCCCCAACCCCGATATCCACTTCTCTCCTCACCAGGGAGGCCAACGTGGCGTGTTTCACCAGCCTCAACAGACGTGGCAGTAGTGGAGGGCGTGATGGGGCTAATTGACAGCAGCAGCATCAGAATCGGGCCCTCCCCTTGTTCTCCCTGTCCCTTCCCTCACGTTCCCCTCTTCCCTCCTTACCCTCTCGCCCTCTCCCTTTTCTTGTATCCCGACCCGGCCCCGCACATCTCATCAGGGAGGCCAACGTGGCATGTTTCACACGTTTCGCAGCCTCAACTGACGTGGCAGTTGTGGAGGGCGTGATGGGGCTATTCGACGGTCGAGATGGCAAGACAGAGGTCGGCAGCACAGCAGAGATGGCCAAGATCATAGGGGCCCCTGTTGTCCTCGTTTTAGACTGTTGGTCTATGTCTAGAAGCGCGGCAGCCATGGTACATGGTTACGCGTCCTTCGACCCGTCGTTGCGATTCGCGGGGATTATTCTGAATAAGGTCGCCAGCGCAGCGCATGCCACGTGGCTGACTGAGGCGCTAGAATCAGCACACGTCAGAGTTCCCGTCCTAGGTGGCATCCCGAAATCTGCTGACGTGGAGATGCCAGAGCGCCACCTGGGATTGCACCGGCCTGGGGTGGACGCGGACGGGGTGCCAGCTCAGCACGCCGAGCGGCTGGCGACACTGATTGAAGCCCACGTGGACCTGGACAGGCTGTTGCAGCTGGCAGCTGACGTGGCAGGGGCGCCTACGATGGGGCTTGGGGGAGGGGAGGGGAGTGTGTGTGGAGGGGAGGATGTCGGAGAGGAGAGTGTGATGGGCGGAGGAGGGAGTGTGATGAGTGGGATGGGAGGAGCAGGAGGGATGGAGTGTGGTGGATCGTTGGCCAATGAGCTGCCTCCGTTGTCGATGCCGCCTGGAATGAAGCTTGCGCGCATTGGGGTGGCGAGAGACGAAGCATTTTGCTTCTACTACCATGACAACCTGTCGCTGCTGAGAGGTGAGACCTTGTATTGAGTATGAGCCAATGCCTCTCGGAATGAAGCTTGCTCGCATTGGGTTGGCGAGAGACGAAGCATTTGGCTTCTACTACCATGACAACCTGTCGCTGCTGAGAGGTGAGACCTTGTATTGAGTATGAGCCAATGCCTCTCGGAATGAAGCTTGCTCGCATTGGGTTGGCGGGAGACGAAGCCTTTTGTTTCTACTACCACGACAACCTGTCGCTTTTGAGAGGTAACTAGGGCCTTGTGTTTAAGTATGCCCCACCCACTCCCTGACTAACTGGCTATACGTGAGTCACCTTAACAGCCTTCTGTTTTACTACCAACCACGATAATTTGTCGCGTCTGAGAGGTAAGTACGGCCCTGTGTTTCTACTACCACGATAACCTGCCCCTGCACACCACCTCGACTCGGTTTGCTTTGGAGCCAGCACCCTGAGCTGCACACTACTGCGCTGGTTGCTCTGGCTTGGCTCGCATATTTCCAATCACCCTTGTGCCATTTCCTGCCCCTCTGTTCACAACGCTGTCCCGTCCCACCCCACCAGAGGCCGGAGCAGAGATTGTGTTCTTCTCTCCGCTCACCTACCCCCTTCCACACCGCCTCGACACTATGTACTTTGGCCGCTCTAGCTGCTCTAGCAGCCAGAGAGGCGGGTATCCCCAGCTGCACGTGGCTGCCGTGGCTGCTCTGGCTTCTCTGGCTGCTTGGCGTCCATATTTCCAATCACCATTGTGCCATCTCCTTCCCCTCTGTTCACATTATTGCCTTTTGTTGCCCACCCTATCAGAGGCGGGAGCAGAGATTGTGTTCTTCTCCCCGCTCACTGACCCTCTGCCGCACCGTCTCGACGCCGTGTACTTTGGCGGGGGGTATCCTGAGCTGCATGCTGCTGCTCTGGCGGCCAACACCAAGTTGGTGTATGCGCTCAGGGCGTTTGCTGCTGCTCTGGCCGCTCTGGCCTGGCTTGCATATTCCCGATTCACCCTTGTGCCATCTCCTGCCCCCCTGTTTTCAATGCTGTTTCGTCCCACCCCACCAGAGGCGGGAGCAGAGATTGTGTTTTTCTCCCCGCTCACTGACCCTCTGCCGCACCGTCTCGACGCCGTGTACTTTGGCGGGGGGTATCCTGAGCTGCATTCTGCTGCTCTGGCGGCCAACACCAAGCTGGTGTATGCGCTCAGGGCGTTTGCTGCTGCTGGCGGGGTGGTGTACGGCGAGTGTGGTGGGCTCATGTACCTGTCACGGAGCATCGAGGTGAGAGCAGGGAGGTTGGGTAGTTGTTCTGGGTTTGGAAGCTGGTGTATGCGCTCAGGGCGTTTGCTGCTGCTGGCGGGGTGGTGTACGGCGAGTGTGGTGGGCTCATGTACCTGTCACGGAGCATCGAGGTGAGAGCAGGGAGGTTGGGTAGTTGTTCTGGGTTTGGAAGCTGGTGTATGCGCTCAGGGCGTTTGCTGCTGCTGGCGGGGTGGTGTACGGCGAGTGTGGTGGGCTCATGTACCTGTCACGGAGCATCGAGGTGAGAGCAGGGAGGTTGGGTAGTTGTTCTGGGTTTGGAAGCTGGTGTATGCGCTCAGGGCGTTTGCTGCTGCTGGCGGGGTGGTGTACGGCGAGTGTGGTGGGCTCATGTACCTGTCACGGAGCATCGAGGTGAGAGCAGGGAGGTTGGGTAGTTGTTCTGGGTTTGGAAGCTGGTGTATGCGCTCAGGGCGTTTGCTGCTGCTGGCGGGGTTGTGTACGGCGAGTGTGGTGGGCTCATGTACCTGTCAAGGAGCATCGAGGTGAGCGTGAGGAAGGGAACTTGTAGTGCCCTGTTGCCCTTCCAAGTGGGGAATGAGTTTCCGTTGGCGGTGGGTGGTGTATGGCGAGTGTGGCAGGCTCATGTACGTCTCCAGGAGCATCGAGGTGGGAGAGGGGAGAGGGAGGTTGGTTGGATTATAGAGGATTTCATGTTTGGATCCTGGTTTCAGTGAGCGAGTTGTGTTGCACCGCTGCCCTTCCAACCAAGTTCCAACCATGTGTGACGTGTTTTCCTTTTCTCACTTGCTGCAGACGAAGGAGGGAGAGGTGCACGAGATGTGTGGGTTGCTGCCCTTCCGCACTCGCATGGTGTCTACACTCAAGCTAGCCTACTGCACGGTGAGTTGTCTGTTTGTGAGATTTGACCATTGCACTTCGCACATATGTGAGATCGTGATTAGGGGGCAGTTCTTCCTTCTCAGCGCGATCGACTTTTGAGGCGCCTCAAAATTTGACGGTGCACATTGCACTGGATTAGGGGGCAGTTCTTCCTTAGCGAGATTGTGCTGGATGCCTCTTCCTCCTTTCCCCAACACCTGTTTGTCTCGTGGGCCCCCCATCCCCCCTCTGTCACCGAGCGTGTTTTTTGAGCCTCTGTCACCGAGCGTGTTTTTTGAGAATTCTCAAAAAACCCCCTCTGTCACCTCTCTTCTCTCTTCTCCCACGTTCGCCCCCAGCCCAATTGTGTGTTGTTCCCGGCCGAGCTGGGCGAGATGAGGGGGCAGTTCTTCCACTTCAGCGAGGTCGTTTCCTTTACCCATCCTAACCCCTCTCTTTCCTCCCTTGCCTTGCCCCACCCTCTCTTGGTCTTCCCTCTTCGTTACCAGGTGCGTCCCCAGCCCAACTGTGTGCTGTTCCCAGCGGAGTTGGGCGAGATGAGGGGGCAGTTCTTCCACTTCAGCGAGGTGGTTCTGGATGACGGCTCATTCCATGGCGACCAGCTGGAGTTCGGGTAAGGAGGAGGGGGTTGAGGCAAACACACCGGGATGTCGTGTGGGGTGGAATCAGGTGAGCTGGTTCGGCATGGCGAGGGGGTTGAGGCAAACACACCGGGATGTCGTGTGGAGTGGAATCAGGTGAGCTGGTTTGGCATGGCGAGCTGAGAAGGCAGTTCTTCCATTCCAGCGAGGTCGTGGTGGATGACGGCTCGTTGCACGGGGACCAGCTAGAGTTTGGGTAAGGAGGGGTCTAATTTGTTGCTGTACTGTATGGATAATGGCACTATGAGGTGAACTGGTTCGGTCCAGCATGGTGAGAGGTCGTGCTGGACAACGGCTTGTGCCACGGCGGCCAGCTCGAGCTTGGGTGAGAATGGGTTTGGTTTGGTGCTGTACGGTATGTATGATAGTATGAGATGAGCTGGTTTGGCTGCAGCATGGCGAGAGGTCGTGCTGGATGACGGCTCGTGCCACGGCGACCAGCTGGAGTTTGGGTGAGTGAGAAGGGGTCTGATCCGGTGCTGTACGGTATGTATGTGGTTAGGTTCGGTGCAGCGTGGCAAGAGGTGGTGAGTGCTGGATGACGACTCATTCCACGGCGAACAGCTGGATTGAGGGAGAGAATGGCTACTCAGAAGTGCCTTATGGTCAGAGAGTATATGGTTTGGGTGCTTCTATCTTCCCTTCCCCCCTGCTCTCCTATCGCCCCTGCTCTCCTCTCCCTCCTTCCCCGTCCCTCCCCAGGTACCTTATCGAGCAGCAGACCCCCGGATCTACTGCTCGTCCAGAGGGCTACATGGCGAGGGCAGTGCTAGCGTCATTCGTGCATCTGCACTTCGCCTCCAACCCCTCCCTCCCATCCCTCCCTCCCCACCCTCCCCCCTGCCTGTCGTGGACCTCCCCAGGTACCTTATCGAGCAGCAAACTCCAGGTGCCACCTCCCGTCCAGAGGGCTACATGGTGGGGGCAGTGCTAGCGTCCTACGTGCATCTGCACTTCGCCTCCAACCCCTCCCTCGCCCACGCCTTCATAGACGCGTGCCGAACCGACCCTACCAAATCCGCAGCTGTCGCTGCTGCCTCTGCCTCAGCAGTGGCTGGAGCTGGGGCGGCAGCGGCGGCAGCAGCAGGGGCGGCAGCTGCGGCAGCGGTGGCAGATGCGTTGAATGAAGACGACAGGTTGTCGCAACGATCGGTCTCGTATAATTTGTACGCGTCCCCGGTGCACCCGAGTCAGCTGGGCTTGCATCAGCAGCAACAGCAGCAGCAGCAGCACGGGGTTTCCGGAGGTTGTGCACCCTCTTCCGTGTCTTCTGTGCAGTCTGGGAGCTCGTTTCGTAGGAGGAGTGAGAGCGGAGGGAGGTGGGATGCGAGGGGGTTTGATGCTGGTGGCGGGGTGTCGCCACCTCATTATTTGGAGACGTATGGGAGGGGAGGAGGAGGGGGAGGAGGAGGGGGCGGGAGAGGGGGGATTGGTGGGTCAGGTGGAATGTATTATGGAGGGGGGGTTTCGCCTCCTCATTATATGGAATCATATGGGCGAGGAAGAGGGGGAGGAGGAGGGGGAGGGGGAGAGGCAGGGGCAGGATATGGGGGTATTGGAGGACGAGTGTATGATGCCAGGGGGCAGTGGCATGAGGATATTATCCCCAGAGCTTTATCAGGTACTGTTCCTGGTTCTTCAGGTGCTTATTCAGGTGGTTTCTCAGGTGGCCCGTCAGGTATTTCACCTGAGCACGACGACCCCACCGAGGCTGACCTCCAGGCTCGGCGGATGGGCGCTCGCGAGGCAGAGGATCGGTCCTCACGTTCGGAATCGTATGTGATTGGAGAGCGCGTGGGCGGCCGCGTCGTCCCATATGCCATGTTTCCGGGTGGCAGCGCCATTGGCAGCGCTGTGGCGAGATCATACGGCGGGCAATCAAATCATGCAGGATATGGATATGGGGCGGGAACGGGCGGCGGAAGTGGGGGAAGAACGGGCGGCGGAGGAGGAGCGGGGGGGGCGGGGAGGAGTTGACTGGGCTAGATACGAGCTCTCACCACCCCTCCCTTACCAATCCACAGGTTACAGCAGGGAGGGGAATGGCAGTCAAGGGGTGGGAGGGCTGGGGTTTATCCCTTCTCCCATGCGGAGGTCTATTTCTGAATTGTGGGTGTCTGGGGGTGGGGGTGGTGGGCTGGATGAGTTGAGTCTGGGCGGAGGGCAAGGGGCGACTGGGCAAGGGGGAAGAGGAGGAGGGGGAGGGGGAGGCGGAGGAGGGGGAGTAAAAGGAGGAGGAGTGAGAGGAGGCGGAGGAGGGGGAGAGGGTGGAGGCGGTGGGTATGGGGGGACAGGAAGGAGAGATGGAAGGGGGAAAGTCTTGGGAGGAGGGGCAGGAGGAGCAGGGGGGGAGGGAGGAGGGGAAGGAGTGGGAGGAGGGAGAGGTGGAGTAGGAGGGTCTAGTAACAGAGGTGGTGGGGGTGGTTCAGTGGCTGGGAGATCAGGAAGTGGAGGAGGAAGTGGTGGTGGTGCTAGCTCAACCTCAGATCCCTCTGCATACCTCTCCACCGCTGCAAACCCCTCTTCAGCAGGTGCCTCTGCAACAGACGGTCGCAGCTATGCGGATTCCGGTTCTGCTTCGGATTATGATGAGATGAATGCGAGTGACTTACGAAGCTCTTCTGAGTTTGATGAGGGGCTGACGTCTAGTGGCCGGCTGTCGGATTTTGTGGGGAGTAACAGCGGGAGGAGCGTGGAGCAGATTTATGAAACGGGAGGAGGGGGTGGTGGAGGAGGAGGAGGGGTGAAGGCGCCTTCTAGTGGGAAAATGGCCGATTTTGTGAGTGCAGGGGTCGGGGTTTTGGGAGAAGGAGGAGGAGGAGGGGGTGGAGGTGGAGGAGGAGGGGGAGGAGGACGGGGAGGAGGGTCAGCTGGTGGGTCTCTCAAGAATTTATCAGCTGGATCAATGAGGAAATTGGCTGCTGCTGCTGCTGGGGCTGCTGCCCAGGCAGAGGCGACTGGGCATGCCAAAAGTGGAAATGTTGCCACAAGTGGAAGTGTTGCTAAAAATGGAAATGGTGCGAAAAGTGGGAGTGGAAGCTGGAGCGGTTCGGGCCGTGTGAGGTGGGAGGGAGAGAAGAGTGGGGAGGGAGAGAAGGGAGAGGAAGGAGGGCAGATGGAGAATGGGGGGTGGAGGGAGGTGGTGGGGCGTGATTCAAGGTATTTTGAAGCAAGAGATACAGTTGAGGGGTTTCAAGCGGTAGGAACGGAGGAGAGAAGGGAGGTGAGTTGGGAGGAAGAAGAGGAGGAAGAAGAGGAGGAAGAAGAGGAGGAGGATGAGGTGGGGACCGGGCAGGAGCAAGAGAAAGAAGCGCCTAGAACAATGCGTCTGGACCCTCGCTTGGTTGAGGAGGTGAGGGAGAGAGAGATGGAGAGGCAGAGGGAGAGGCAGAGGGAGGAAGTGGTGGGGAACGAGCAGAAAGGCCAGAATCGGCAGCAGCAGCAGGAGCAGCAGCAGCGGCTAGGAGAGGATGGGCAGACAGGGAGGTATACCCACGAAGACCAAATGCAGCAGTGGCAGGAGCAGAAGCATATGCAGAAGCAGAAGCAGCAGCAACAGCAGCAGGAGCAGCATGCTCGAAAACACTCGGATGGGAATGAAGCTTCTACTGCTGCGGATGGTAGGGGCACCAAGAGTGGCAGCAGCAGCAGAAGCAGTGGCAATGGTGACGGGTTCCGTTCCCTGCCCACCCAGCTGTACCGCACTCTGCTCCGCGACACCCATTTGCACCACTCTCATCTCCATGACGCCCAGGTGCACAGGAGTTTTACTGGGGCTTCAGAGTCTAAACGTGCTGCTGCTGCTGCTGCTGCTGGTGGTGCTGGTGCTGGTGGTGCTGACGGTGCTGCTGCCGCTGCTGCTGGTGGTTCTTTTGCTAATGCTGGTGGTGGTGTTGATGGTGCTGCTGGTGCTGCTGGTGCTGCTGGTGGGAGTATAGCAGTGAGCAGGAGCGCGAGTGGGAGGCTCTATACCGAGAATGAGTTGTCTTATAAGATGTGTCAGAAGCTTTATATCGAGGATGCGGTTTCCAGTCAATCACGAGCAGTCAGGATAGCAGGAGGGGCAGCAGGAGCAGTGGTGGATAGGGCAGCAGGAGGGGCAGAAGGAGCAGGGATAGGAGCCAGGGCAGCGGCAGCTGCAGAGGCAGTGGTAGGAGCAGGAGCAGCAGGGGGAATGGGGGACGATGAAGTGACGAGAGGTGGAATGAGATCTGCTGATGGGACTCCAACCAAGACTGCTAGTGCACCGCTCCTCACAGGCCTGCCGTCGACAAACACTGCTGCTGCTGCTGCTGCCGCTGGTGGTGGTGCTGGTAGCAGGGGCGGAATGGGAGAGAGCGAATTCAGTGGAAGGGCGGCGCTGTCAGCACATGGGAGTTATGGGCACATGTCTGGGCTTGCCTCTCAGGCTGCAATGTCTGCCCATGCCACTCACACCACCCATGCCACTCACACCACCCATGCCACTGCCACACACCCCGGGCATTCTTCCCTGAACCCTCACACCCCATCCCATCCTCACTCCTCCATGCACCCTGCTCCTCCTCAGCATCCCCATCCCTCTCACTATCCGCCCCAACACCCCCCTCCCCATCATCCTCAGCAGCAGCAGCAGCTGTATCATCATAATCACCATGACCAGCAACAGAAGCAGCAGTACCAGCAGCAGCATTATCCTCTATACTCTCAACCTATCCCCCCTCTCAGCACCCCCTTACCTGGCCCTCCCCTCTCAGCAACAGCTGTTACTGGAGCTCGCCCCACCCCTCTTCCTACTTCTTCAGATCTACCCCAGTTCAACACTCCTCCCGAACCTGCTTCCAAGGCAGCAGCCGAAGCTGCGGCAGAAGCTGCAGGTCGGGCTGCTCAAGCTTTTCAGGCTGCCCGTTTGGGACCAGAAGCAGAGCCTGAAACGGACGCTTTCTTTGATTCCTGCCCAAACTTCGAATCCCCGAAATTGAAATTTCACACTCCCCCTTCTGACGTAAATGCCCCTCTCCTCAATTCAGACTCCCTCACTCTCTCAGACCCTCACACTCTTCCCACTCCCCCCACACACTCTCGTTCCCACACCCCCCCTGCCCCCAACACTCACTCTGGCCTTCATTCCTTCTCAGAATCTCACAGTTTCTCTCATTTCCACACTCACTCTGACCCTCACACCTCCTACCCTCACGCTCACCTTCACGTTTTCTCAGATCCCCACACTCACTTCTCCCTTTCTAAAGACTTCTCGTTTGGTACGAGAAGGAGGTTGGATCTGGGTCAAGCTAACGAGGGGGGGAGATTGGAAGAAGGGTTTGGGGGAGGGGAAAGCAGGGGAAGGATAGGGGATGAGGGGCCGCAGGGGGGGATGCAGCAGGGAGAGCAGCAGCGACAGAGGCTGGGAGAAAAACAGGTGCAGGGGCAGGGGCAGGGGCAGGGGCAGGGGCAGGGGCAGGGGCAGGGGCAGGGGCAGGGGCAGGGGCAGGGGCAGGGGCAGGGGCAGGGGCAGGGGCAGGGGCAGGGGCAGGGGCAGGGGCAGGTGCAGGGGCAGGGGCAGGGGCAGGGGCAGGGGCAGGGGCAGGGGCAGGGGCAGAAGCAGGATCAGGGGCAGTGGCAGCAGCAGCAGCCGCAGCAGCAGCCGCAGCAGCAGCCGCAGCAGCAACTGCAGCAACAGCAACTGCGGCAACAGCAGGAGCAGAGGCAGGAAACGGGGCAAGGGGACAAAGTAGGGAGCTTGATAACTGCAGGACAAGCCAGTCTGGCTGTGGCAGATACGGTGGAGGGTTGGATGCGGTGCAAGGGGGTGGAAACGGGTGCTGGTGTGACAGTAGGGAGTTACGGGGTGACTGCAGCAGGGTTGAGAATGGCAGGAGGAGTGGCAGGTGGAATGCCAGGCGGAATTCCAGGTGGAATGTCAGGTGGAATGGCAACAGAGGGACGGCAGTTGGGAGGGAAGAGCAGGAGAACTCGTGTGGTATCACTGTCACCTTCCGCAACTGATATCATCGTGGCACTCAGTAAGCGTGTGGTGCGGTGCAGTGTGGTGCAGGGTCGTGGGGTGGGGTGTGGTGTGGTGTGGTGTTGATTGAGTTCCAGATGAAAGCCTCGTGTTGTGTCACTGTCACCTTCAGCAACAGATATCATCATGGCCCTCAGCAAGTGGTGCGGTGCGGTGCGGTGCAGTGCGGTGTGGCGTGGCGCTCACTGACGTTTATCATCAATTGTTGTGCCCCACGATCTCAGCTTTAGCAGGCTGCCCTGCCCCTCAACTGCCACAACCCATCCCTCATTCTACCCTCAACCACACCCCGCCCTTCAACTGCCCACAACCCTTCCCTCATTCTACCCTCACCCACACCCCGCCCCTCAACCGCCACAACCCTTCCCTCGTCCCTTCGAGTTCTGAGACGTCTCAAAACTTGATAGGCTGCCCTGCCCCTCAACTGCCACAACCCTTCCCTCATATGCTCCCTTCACCCACACACCAATCTTACTCTGCTTCTGAGTCGAGGAAGTCTTTTAACTTGAAAATAGCACCCCATTCTGTTGCTGCCTTTCAGGAGCGACGGACCAGCTGATTGGCTTGTCGGATCAGTGCCGCCCGTCCAGCTCCTTGCCACACCCATGCCACGTGGTATGCTGACATGAGCCTGTTTTATGGCCATGTCATGTGTCATCATCCCATACTGCCATGCCATGTGTCATCTTCCCATCCTGTCATGCCATATGTCATCATCATCCTGTACAGCTATGCCATGTATACACAGGCTGTGCCATGCTTCTGTTGACATTTGATTTGTGATGTCATGATGCACATACTGATGTGATCCGTCTCTGTATGAGTCGCCCGTTTTTTAGCCGACTCAACAATAAGTTGCCTCAGAACATAATATTGTATTCCGCTTCCTTCTGTCCTCCGGGGATCTCCTTAAAGCCCCCCCCCCAAAAAAAAAAAACTGTCCATCCCCTTTTTGCCCGGCTTCTCCTGTCGCTCCCCCCCGTCCCAACTGTGTGTTGCAATCAGGTGCTTCGCTGCCCTGCTGCCAGCAAGCCGCCTTCCAAAGTGCGTTCTGCTCCCTTAGCATGCATTTTTTAGTTGAATCAGAAACCTTCTTTTTCCCTTATCCCAGTCGTATAGTTCCTATCAGGTCTTCACTGCCCTGCAGTCATAGCCAGCTGTGTTTCCCAAGTGAGTTTTCCACCCTTTGCATGCTCCTTGTGTGTGGCTGTTTCAACTTGTGGGATCTTCTGTTTCTACAAGGCAATAAGGTGTTATCTCCCTCCCTCCCTCCCGCGCTCCCTTCCTCCCTCCCTCCCGCGCTCCCTTCCTCCCTCCCTCCCTCCCTCCCTCCCTCCCTCCCTCCCTCCCTCCCTCCCTCCCTCCCTCCCTCCCTCCCTCCCTCCCTCCCTCCCTCCCTCCCTCCCTCCCTCCCTCCCTCCCTTCCTCCCTCCCTTCCTCCCTCCCTTCCTCCCTCCCTTCCTCCCTCCCTCCCTCCCTTCCTCCTCCCTCCCTCCCTCCCTCCCTTCCTCCCTCCCTTCCTCCCTTCCTCCCTCCCCCCTCCCTTCCTCCCTCCCTTCCTCCCTTCCTCCCTCCCTCCCTCCCTCCCTTCCTCCCTCCCTTCCTCCCTCCCTTCCTCCCTCCCTTCCTCCCTCCCTTCCTCCCTCCCTCCCTCCCTCCCTTCCTCCCTTCCTCCCTCCCTCCCTTCCGCCCTCCCTTCCTCCCCCCCTCCCTCCCTCCCTCCCTCCCTCCCTCCCTCCCTCCCTCCCTCCCTCCCTCCCTCCCTCCCTCCCTCCCTCCCTCCCTCCCTCCCTCCCTCCCTCCCTCCCTCCCTCCCTCCCTCCCTCCCACCGTCGCTCCTTTTCTGTTCTCAGGTTCAAGCCCCTCCTTGTGTGCTGGATTCGGAGTGGTTGAGAGCGGTGCAGCCAGATGTGGTGCTTTTAGGGGGATCCACTGCCTGCCTGCGCTGCGACCTGCACTGGCAGGATGGAAATACACTGTCCACCGCTGCTGCTGCGGCTGCAGCTCCTGATTCTGTTAGTGATTCTGCTAGTGCTGCTGGTGTTTCTGGTGCTGCTGCGGCTGCTAGGGCTGGTGGTGGTGGTGGTGGTGGTGGTGGTGCTGCTGCTGCTACTGCTGCTGCTGGAGTATCAGGAGTGGCAGATAAGGGAAGGCATTGTGACAGCCTTACCTTGGCTGCAGAGGTTCGGAGGAGCCTCGGTGAATCAGGCTCGGGAGAAGGCGGCGGTGCATCAATCGTTTCTCTCCGTCCTGCCACAGTGAGTTCCCAACTTATTAGGCCACTTGGTGGCACTGCTGAGAATTCTCAAGCCTGGATCATGATTGTCAATTGTTTGTGAGTCAGTCTTGGAGACTCATTAGACACCCTGCCTGCCAACTTGTAGGGTAGTTCTGCACCAGCCAGCCAACACCATCCCCTTTTAAGCCTCTCCTAATTCCGCTATCCGCCTCCCTCCTCCCCGCTCCACCAGCTCGCCCAGGTGCTAGAGTCGGTGGTCACAGTGGGGGCGGCTCTGGGTCTGCAGCAGCCAGCCCAGACCTACCTTTTATAACCCTCTCTTTCTTCTCTCACATGCCTCTCACCCTCTCCCCATCCCTCCAGCTCGCCCAGGTGCTTGAATCAGTGGTGACAGTGGGGGCAGCACTTGGTCTGCAGCAGCCAGCCCAGGCCCTCTCCTCCCACCTCCACCTGCGCCTGCGCTCTCTCGCTGCTGCCCTCGCCACCGCTCCCCGCCCCCGGGTCACCTCCCTAGAATCCATCTCTCCTCTCGTTATGGCTGGGCACTGGCTGCCCGAGATGAAAGTTTTGGCCGGGGCAGATGATGGTGGGCTGCAGGAGCCGGGCAGCCCGGTGCGGAAAGTATTGTGGGAGAGCATTACGGCGTTTGGGCCTCAGGTGCTGTTTCTGACGCCGTGTGCTGCTGATGTGAAGACTGCTCTTGCTCAGGTGAGGGTGGGAGGGTTGAAGGGCTACGGATAAGGGGTGGGGTAGGGGTGAGGTAAGGGAGGGGGGGAAAGGGGGGGGGTGGGGGAAGTGAGAGTTACAGCGTTTGGGCCTCAGGTGCTGTTTCTGATGCCGTGTGCTGCTGTTGTGAAGACAGCTCTCGCTCAGGTGAGCAAGCAGGAATGCATGTTGCGGGGCAAGGGGTGTGGGATAGGGGTGGAGTAAGGCATAAGTATGGCGATTGGGCCCCAGGTGCTGTTTCTGACGCCGTGTGCTGCTGTTGTGGAGACTCACTCGCTCACGTAAGGTTGGATGTAGTGAGGGGTGATGTGTGGGGGAGGTGGGTGTGGCGAGTGTGGGGTGAAGGGTGAGGGGCTAGGGGTGAAGGGTGGAGGGTTCTGGTAGTTGTTTCGAAAGACCACATGTCTGAGTTGTGACGGAAAGGTCCCATCTCGCTTTTGTAAGATTCGTCATTCGCATGGCCATCCCTGCCTTCTCCCCCATGCTGTGTTCTTTTTCACAGGTTGAGGCGCTTGCTCGCCTGCCCGGCTTTTGGTCGCTGCCCGCAACTGAATCTGGGCAGGTTTACATTATCGAGTCATGTCTGTTCCTCAACGCAGGCCCGCGATTGGTCGATGGTGTTGAGTTGCTAGCCAGAATTATTCATCCTGACCGAGTAGCGGTTCCTTTGCCACCCGGATGCTTCGTCTTGAAGCTGGAGCTTAGTAGGGAGAAACACTACCGAGCAGGGGACGTTCATAAACATTTTAGGCCGCTTCTATAGATTTAGGCAGGCTTGTTCTGCAATGGTCTTTTAACGGTGGTGTAGCTATAGTTAACGTAGCCAAGTAGATAACATAGGTTACAAGTAGCAACCATATATCGTATATTAAGAACATGAGGTTCAAGCGAAAAAAGGTCTATAGTTGTAGCTGCATGAAGCATTTTTTAGTGCTCTATTCTTGTAACTAGCTGATATCATAAAGCAGTTTTGGTGACTACCTCTATTTACTTGCTGCCTGATAAGCGAACGTAACAGTTTCGTGAAATTCTTGATCTGAGCCACGTGTCGTGGAGTTTCAGGCTTACCCACTTCTTAGGAATTTCGGCTCAAGCGATTTGTGGATATGGGTTCTGTGGAAATAGGTGGCGAGGATTCAAGCATGATGAGGTGGATGGATGAGGTGATCCATCGCCTCACAAACCATATCCCAAATCAATCATTCTTTCCGAATGTGACGCCGTACAGTAAAGTTAATATGGTACAAACTGAATATGCGCCCTTGAATTGATCTCGTTTGAAGCTTCTCGTCGTGTCTGTCGATCTGTTTTTTTTTTTTTTTTTTTTTTTTTTCCGGGGATCATTCACCCCAAAACGTAGTCGCAAGCAGGTTTGACTTGTAGTGTGGGAATCGGGAAAGAGAGTGCTTTTATGGTATTTTCGCCCAGCCTAGCCAAATTTTCTGGTTATAAGAACTTCCAGCTTGAGCACCGTCCAGTCAACCTTGGGACCAGAAGTCTCCAGTCGAGAAAGTCGTGAGGGAGATCCTCTCCCCTCCTTCCGATCTTCCAGATCACCCTCCGTCTTTTTCGATCTCTCCCTTGCCGCTGGTTGGTGTGTGTGGCTGTGGACCGAGTGCAGTGCAAAGCAGACACCTGGGCCCAGTTCGGCAGGCATTTGGCCATTACGGGCATTCTCAACGGGCCCCCAAAAAATGCCCCCTCGAAGCAGCTGCGATATCAGACTGTAGCTGCAGTGCAACTTCTGAAAAAATGGCTAGATTGTTCGGTTGGCATTTTGGTATAGTTCTGTGGGCGCATTAGGGGTGCTCAGCACTAAGAAGATTAGTCTAGGAACGCGCATAAAAAACTTAAAGCCCACGTCGAGCCTCCCTTTTCGTTATTGTGTACCGAACCTGGCAGCATTTGCTGTGCGCCCAGGGGTTAGAGAACGCATCACAACGGGTGTGCTCGGACCTTACTACGAAGCTTCTCTCACGGGCAAACTGGAGGCACCACTCGTGCGAACCCAATCCGCCCATCGAAGTGGGGATAAGGGGGTGCACAAGCAATAACGGGCAGGTCTCAATGCCCGCTATTGGGACATTTGGCGGTGAATAAACTCACCACAAAAACATATCAGCCGAGAGGCAAGGGTGAACCCTAAGGCCGAAGGTTTGTGAGTGGTTGGAATCAAACATTTAGAGCATCTTGGGCAGACTGTGCATGATGACCGAAACAAACATCGGCTGTTTGCAAAATTGTTTTGTCGTTAGCAACAAACTTCGCCGAGGTTGCGGGAGGGTTGACCCCTTTGAGGTCTAGCCCATCCGGTAGTGCTTATGCGGAAGGCCCAAACTGCAGATGCGGCAACAGAACGAGGCCTCTATGGGCCTAGATTAATGGCATCAATCGAGGATTTAGCTTCGTAGAAGCTAGGATGCAGTTGTCTTGAAGGATCGCGTGATCATGCGATTGGCTGGCATATTTGACCAGTCATTTTTTATTGGCCGCATCACTGATCCCCCGTGTGGTGCGGGACCTCGAGGCCGCATGGTGTGGCGGATCAGAAAATGGACAGTTTGCCTGAGAAATAGGTTCGAGGAAGATTCCTCTGGCAGAAAATGCCATCTTTAAAAGGGGTGTTCGGCTGGCATTCCATGATTGTCTGGTTTGGCGATGATCCGCATATATCGAGCCTGTATAACCTTTCACGCGCTTATCAAGGAAGGCTCTAGGGTGGTCAATTTATTGTAGCTCTCCCCCGAGGCCCATTTTTTTATGCCTTCCGAACCGGGCCCTGGACTGGATGGAAGAAACACCCGTGACGCGCCTTGGTTTTATCCTCGACTTCCCTTTCCTTCCTCCTCATAGCCGTTGGTTCCGCTTCTGCTGCTTCTTTTCGCAAGCATCCAGCCTGGTACTGTACTACACCTGATGCCTTTTCCAGTCCCCTTCTCCATCTTTCTCTGTGCTTCTCTCTCTTGCGTGCGCTCCCCACAGGTAGAATGGGACTGTATTTGGTTAGCCTGGCGTGTCGTTTCTGGGAAACTCGACTAACTTATTCGAGGCTTAGAGTATCTTGCTTTTGTCGTGGGCCTGTAACGTTCGGGCCGTTGACTAGGAATGTCGACCACTGGGCGTATGGAGTAGGAGGTTACGTGTTCAGATTGGGCGGTTGGGTGAGCATTTGGGTGTACGTCATTTCGGTTTTGAATTTCTCGCACCCGTTTTGGAAATCACTGTATTTAGGGCACTGTACGCCTGCATACAATAATGTACTCAAGTGCCCTCACTCTGTAGCCAAATGACAACTGATTTTTAGCAGCCAAGAAATCCAGACTGCGAGAACGTGCAGCTCTGCTCATTGCTTCGAACGCTGTGTTGGGTAGGCTAGGCTCTGCGAACGGCAAGGAGCATTGGTTGCTCTTTGACGCTCCTACTGTACTGTAATCGCTGATCCGTCGAATCAAATACGTGTAGCTGAATGCCTTATCTCTTACCGCTGTCGATATATCTTACGGCTGTCGATCACACGTTTAGCCGCATGGCTTCTACCATATCTAGTAAATATCTCGAAATGCCCTCTTACCTGGCTCGACCGTTAGTACAAGCGTAGCTCGAATCTTCCACCCTGGTCCATTTCGTCTGGAAGCGACTTTTCTAAAAGACCAAATGCTTTGATTTCTTCCTTTCCAGCTTTAAAATCAGCAGACACTACCCGCTATTGTGCACAGACACGAGAAGAAGAAGCTGGTCAGCTCCGCCTAACCGCCACGCTTAACAAGGGTACTAGTAGACTACGTCAATGTTATTAGCTTAACGGCGCTTCGAATCAGTGCATTGGCTTAGAACGCATCGGTTTCCGAAGACGAACGAACGCGTCGGCCTCCGAAAGCCGCGTCGGCCTCGCAGGAACGATGTTTAACCGCGGGAGGAAGATTGTGACCAAGGTAGTGGTGAGCGCGGATGCGGAACTACAGCAGCGGTTCGAGGAGAAGGAGCGGGAGAAGCGGAGGGAGAAGGAGAAGGAGAAGGAGCGAGAGAAGCCAGGCCCTCGGCCGTCGGAGTGGGATTATTTGACGACCGTCGTGCAGCAGAACCGCGTCGCGCAGCGAAAGGTGCGTCGCGGTAGGAAAGGACCAAACGTGTGCAGCGAATAACGGGGAAGTGTAGGCCGAAAGGGAAGCATTGACCCTCGGAAAGGGGGGACGACCGTCTGAGTGGGACTATTTGACGACCGTCGTGCAGCAGAACCGCGTCGCACAGCGGAAGGTGCGTTGCGAGTAAGGGGGAGATATAACAAGGGGCAAATGGACGAAACGGACGCATTGACCCGTTTTTTTAGACGTCTCAAATTTTACCCCAGACTTAATTGGGACGACAATTGACGGAACGGGAACGGCCGACGAAATCAGAACCGGCTGACGGGATAAGAACGTTTGGCGGAAAGGGAACGGCTGACGGGAATGGGAACGGCTGACGGAACGGGGACGGCTGACGGAATGGTGACGGCTGACGGAATGGGAACGGGCTGACGGAATAGGGACGGCTGACGGAATGGGGACGGCTGACGGAATGGGAACGGTGGAAGCTTACTGAGGCGCGCGGGACGGCGGAGCGTGTGACGAGCGCGCAATGTACGGCGTCGGCCACGAGCGCAATGTGCGGCGAACGCGCAAACCAACGCTATCAACCCTCCACCCCTCTTGCGCCGCCCTCTCCTTTCCTCCCCCATCCCCCTCTCCCCTTCCCCCCATTTCCCCCCACAAACCCTTTTCAATCTTCCCCCTATCCGCTCCCATTTACCCCTTCCCCCTATCCGTCCCCCGACCTCCCCGCAGCTCCAGGCAATTGCGGGGGCGGAATCGTCTCCCGCAGCCGCATCAACAGCCGCCGCCGCGCCTTCAGCTGCGCCTGCAGGGGGGGAGGCGGAAGCGGAGGATCAATCCAACGGTGGAGATGTGCAGTCGTACACGCAGCACGCTCAACGGCCAGGATACGTCCAACAGCACGGCTCTCTGCTGTTCCTGGAAGAGAGGAGCTACAGAATCCTGGCTGTAGCGGAAAATATCTTTGACTTTTTTGACCAGCCAGATCGGGGGAATGGGGAGAAGAAGACGGGAGAGGAGAGGGAAGAGGAGACGAAGGAGGGGAATGGGGAGGGAGGGAGGGAAGAGGCGGAAGGAGGAGGGGGGAAGGGCGGGGCCGTGAGGAGTCTGCTGGGCCAATCATGTCGCTGCTTGATGACAGAGCAGGTAAGACTGCTCAAAAAACGACATTTTCTTAAACAACCTCCTTGCCCTGCCTCTTCCTTACCCGCTTCTCCCTTCCCTCTTCGCATTAGATGGTCTCCTGCCTGGTCAGAATGTATTTTTGAGGCGCCTCGAAAATCAACTCCTGCCTGGTCAGAATGTAAAGTTTACGAGCGCCCCCTTCGACTCTACCCCTTCGGAAAGAAATTGATTGTTTTTAAGTCAACTAAAAAACAATTCAGGAGACGCTCTCTTTTGAGTCGACTAAAAAACAATTCAGGAGACGCTCTCTTCCCTGCCCGCTTTTGAGGCGCCTGAAAAAATACTCTCCTCCCTGCTCATAATGTACAGTTTCTGCTACGAGCCTTATTTTGAGGCCCCTCAAAATACATCTTAATTCAGCATGCTCTAATCCCTGCTCACACTGTGCAGTCTCCGTCACGAGCCTATTCTGTCTCCCTTGGTTTTGAGTCGACTCAAAACTAGGCTCAAAGCTTGAGTCGACTCAAAACTAGGCTCAAAGCTTGAGTCGACTCGAAACAATTCAGCAGACGCTCTCCTCCCTGCTCACGATGTAGTGTTTCCGCTATGAGCCTATTCTGCCCCCCTTACCCTTTCCCCCACCCCTTCCTACCTCTTCTCAACAGGCGTTTTCCTGCCTGGTGGTGGCGCCGAGTAGAGTCCAGACACCCCACTCCACCCATCCCCACCCCTTCCTACCTCTTCTCAACAGGCGTTTTCCTGCCTGGTGGCGGCGTGTAGGGTTCAGATCCGCAGCTGTCGAACCCCATCCCCACCCACCCCACCCCACCCCACCCCACCCCACTCCACCCATCCCCACCCCTTTCTTCACCTTCTCAACAGACGTTTGCCTGCCTGGTGGCGGCGTGTGAGAGCTCGGATCCGCAGCTGTCGAACCCCATCCTGCTCAAGACAGTGCGACGAGGTGAGAGGGAGGGAGGTGAGAGGAGAGGGAGGGAGGTGAGATAGAGGGAGGTGGGAGGGGGTGAGGAGGCGAGCAGAGGTTGAGAGGGAGGTAAGCTCGGATCCGCAGCTGTCGAACCCCATTCCGATCAAGACGGTTCGAGGGAGGGAGGTGAGTGAGCAAGGGGGGTGAGTGAGTGAGTGAATGAGGGAGGTGAGTGAGTGACTGAGTGAGCGAGTGAGTGAGTGAGGGAAGGAGGTGATTGAGTGAAGGATTTGGAACTGGCAAGCCCTTTTCTGATGAAAATAATTATCCGTGCGTGGGACAGGAGGAGAGGAAGAGAAAAGGAGTGCACCCACTCCCTTCCCTTCACCTCCCCGCCTCAGCCCTCCCCTTCCACCCGGCCCACCCTCCCCCTCCCCCCGCGGCCCACCCTCCCCCTCCCCCCGCGGTCCACCCTCCCCCTCCCCTCCCCCCGCGGTCCACCCTCCCCCTCCCCTCCCCCCGCGGCCCACCCTCCCCCTCCCCCCGCGGCCCACCCTCCGCCTCCCCACCCCATTATCGCACTGACGAGGGCCTGGTGGTTGACTTAGAGCTGTGCATGGGAGGGGGAGGGGAGGAGGAGTGGACGGTCTTGTAACAGGCAGGCAGGTAGAGTGATATTTCCCTTGCATCTCCCCGTTCCTACCCCTCCCTCCCCCAGCGCGCCCCCTGTACGCCATAGTGCATCGCACAGACGAGGGCCTGGTGGTTGACATAGGGCCGTGCGTGGGAGGGGGAGGGGAGGAGTGGGCTTTTGTGACAGGCAGGCAGCTAGAATTCTTCTTTCACTTCACCTCGGCCATTCCACCCCCCTCCCCCACCTTCCTCACCCCCCATCAGCGCGCCCCCTGTACGCCATAGTGCATCACACTGACGAGGGCCTGGTGGTTGGCATAGAGCCGTGCGTGGGAGGGGAGGAGTGGGCAATTATGTGACGGGCACTAGAGCGTCGTTTCCTCTTCATCTTCCCCCCTCACCTCCCCCTTTCCACCCCCCGCTTCCCCCATCCTCTCCTCCCACAGCGCGCCCCCTGTACGCCATAGTGCATCACACTGACGAGGGCCTGGTGGTTGGCATAGAGCCGTGCGTGGGAGGGGGGAGCGGAGGGAGGAGGAGTGGACTGTCACGGTCTTGTGGCCTGCCCGGCACTAGAGTGTCGTTTCCCTTTTATGTTCCGTCCCCCCCCTTGTCTTCCTCACCCCCCATCAGCCCACCCCCTGTACGCCATAGTGCATCGCACTGACGAGGGCCTGGTGGTTGACATAGAGCCGTGCGTGGGAGGGGAGGAGTGGGCTGGGAGGTGGAAGAAGAAGAAGAAGGGAGGGAAGGCGGCGGCACGTGCGAGTGAGGCACGAGGGAAAGTCGAGGTGGGGAGTGTGGGGGAATCAGGAGGAAAGGCAGGTAGCGGTATAGAGGATGCGTCTGGAAAGGGTGGGGAGGGGAAGGACGGAGTAGTTTCGTGGAGGTGTTTGAATGGGTATGCGCAGGGTGGTGGTGGAGATGAGAGCTGTCAGAAGGAAGGGGAGAAGCCGGAGAAAGGAGAGGAGGAAGAGAAGAAAGGGGAGAAGGAGGAGAAGGGAGGGGAAGAGGAAGAGGAAGAGAAGCAAGGGGAGGAGGGAAAGAAAGGGGAGGAGAAGGAACAGGATGAGGAGGAGGAAGAGGAGGAGGAGGAAGAGGAGGAGGTCGTCGATATGTCGATGCTGGAGTGGTCAGCTCTGGACAAGCACGAGAGGACGAGTGCGAGTATTGCCAAGCTGCAAGACATCGATGACGACATGCCTAAGCTGTGCAACACGCTTGTGCAGGTGAGTGGGACAGGGAGAAAAGGGAGGAGAGACATGGTAGGTTGAGAGAGAGTGCGCATTGCCAAGCTGCAGGACATTGTCTCCACACCTCCCCCTCCACACCTCCCCCTCCACACCTCCACCTCCACACCTCCCCCTCCACACCTCCCCCTCCACACCTCCCCCTCCACACCTCCCCCTCCACACCTCCCCCTCCACACCTCCACCTCCACACCTCCCCCTCCACACCTCCCCCTCCACACCTCCCCCTCCACACCTCCCCCTCCACACCTCCCCCTCCACACCTCCCCCTCCACACCTCCACCTCCACACCTCCCCCTCCACACCTCCCCCTCCACACCTCCCCCTCCACACCTCCCCCTCCACACCTCCCCTCCACCCTCCCCCTCCACACCTCCCCCTCCACACCTCCCCCTCCACACCTCCCCCTCCACACCTCCCCCTCCACACCTCCCCCTCCACACCTCCCCCTCCACACCTCCCCCTCCACACCTCCCCCTCCACACCTCCCCTCCACACCTCCCCCTCCACACCTCCCCCTCCACACCTCCCCCTCCACACCTCCCCCTCCACACCTCCCCCTCCACACCTCCCCCTCACACCTCCCCTCCACACCTCCCCCTCCACACCTCCCCCTCCACACCTCCCCCTCCACACCTCCCCCTCCACACCTCCCCCTCCACACCTCCCCCTCCACACCTCCCCCTCCACACCTCCCCCTCCACACCTCCCCCTCCACACCTCCCCCTCCACACCTCCCCCTCCACAACCTCCCCCTCCACACCTCCCCCTCCACACCTCCCCCTCCACACCTCCCCCTCCACACCTCCCCCTCCACACCTCCCCCTCCACACCTCCCCCTCCACACCTCCCCTCCACACCTCCCCCTCCACACCTCCCCCTCCACACCTCCCCCTCCACACCTCCCCCTCCACACCTCCCCTCCACACCTCCCCTCCACACCTCCCCTCCACCCTCCCCCTCCACACCTCCCCTCCACACCCCCTCCACACCTCCCCCTCCACACCTCCCCCTCCACACCTCCCCCTCCACACCTCCCCCTCCACACCTCCCCCTCCACACCTCCCCCTCCACACCTCCCCCTCCACACCTCCCCCTCCACACCTCCCCCTCCACACCTCCCCTCCCCCTCCACACCTCCCCCTCCACACCTCCCCCTCCACACCTCCCCCTCCACACCTCCCCCTCCACACCTCCCCCTCCACACCTCCCCCTCCACACCTCCCCTCCACACCTCCCCTCCACACCTCCCCCTCCACACCTCCCCCTCCACACCTCCCCCTCCTGCTTTTCCCTTCCCGCTTTCCCTCTCCCCTTCCTCCTCCACGCCTCCGCCTCGCCCCACTCTTACCCCTCTCTCAGGAATTGCGAGAGCTGGCAGGGCATGACCGCATGCTGCTGTACCGATCATTAAATCCCTTCCTCCTCCCCCTCTCTCCCCCTTCTCTTCCACACCCTCTTCTTCAACGCTCCTGCCTGCCCTGAATCAGGAATTGCGGGAGCTGGCAGGGTACGACCGCGTTCTGCTGTACCAGTTCCATGAGGACCTGCACGGGGAGGTGCGTGGGGCATATTTGACGACAGGTGGGGTGGAAAAGAGGATTGAAATGGTTGAAATGAGCTGGCAGGGTATGACCGCGTGCTGCTGTACCGGTTCCATGAAGACCTGCACGGGGAGGTGCGTGGGTGGGGGGGCCTTGTGTGTCATCTTGTACAGGGGTGGAAATGAGAAGGGAGGATGTGGAGGGTATGACCGCGTGCTGCTGTACCGGTTCCATGAGGACCTGCACGGGGAGGTGCGTGGGAAAGAGGGGGGAAGGAGGGGGGTCGCTCTGGAGAGAGATGGTTGGGTGGGTGGGAAGAGGATGGGCCGAGAGAGCTGGCAGGCAGGGTATGACCGCGTGCTGCTGTATCGATTCCATGTGGACCTGCACGGGGAGGTGCGTGGGTGGGGGGGGTGGTTGGGAGTGGGGGGAAGGAGGAAGGAGAGTGGAGGTCCGGCTGGCTGGCTGGCTGGTTGGTTGGTTGGTTGGTTGGTTGGTTGGTTGGTTGGTTGGTTGGTTGGTTGGTAGGGAGGGAGGGAGGGAGGGAGTGAGAGTTGGCAGGGTATGACCGAGTGCTGCTGTATCGATTCCTCGAAGACCTGCATGGGGAGGTACGTGGGTGTAGGGGGGTGGGGAGGGGAGGGGGAAGGGGAGGGAAGAGTAGGGAAGGGTAGGGAAGGGTAGGGAAGGGTAGGGAAGGGTAGGGGAGCAGAGGCCAAGTCGGAGGCACAGATACCTTGAATTCTGTCCCCTTCCCTTCCCCTTCCCTTTGCCCCTTCCCTTCCCCTTCCCTTTGCCTCTTCCCTTTGCCCCTTCCCTTCCCCTTCCCTTTGCCTCTTCCCTTTGCCCCTTCCCTTCCCCTTCCCTTTGCCCCTTCCCTTTGCCCCTTCCCTTCCCCTTCCCTTTGCCCCTTCCCTTTGCCCCTTCCCTTTGCCCCTTCCCTTTGCCCCTTCTCTTCTCCCTGTCTCCTCCCTTCTCTCCCTCCCCCCCCTCCCCCTCTTCTCTTGATCCTGTCTTCTCCTTTCTCTCCCCTCCCCCTCTCATCCCACCTCTCTCTCTCCCCAGGTCGTGGCAGAGGCCAAGTCAGAAGCTCAGGCGACTTGATCTCTCTTCTGTTGCTCTTCCTTTCATTCCTCCCTGTCTTCTCTCTCCTCCCTCCGACCCCTCCCCTCCAACCCTTCTCCCCCTTCCCTTTCTCGCCAGGTCGTGGCTGAGGCCAAAGCAGAGGCTCAGGCGTCCCTGCTTCCTCCTTCTCCAGTGTCCCCTCCCATCCCTCTCCCAATCCCTTTCTCTTCCGCCTCCCCCCCACACACACCCCTCTCTCCCCCTTCCCTTTCTCGCCACCCCAGGTCGTGGCAGAGGCCAAAGCAGAGGCTCAGGCGTCTCTGTTGGGGCTGCACTACCCTGCGACTGATTGCCCTCAGGTGAAGTGCGGTGAAGTGTGGTCAAGTGCGATTGTGCATACTGTGAACACTCTCAGGTGAAATGCAGTTACGTGAAGTGCGGTGAAGTACGGTGAACTAGCCATCACATATACAGACATTTATTCACTTCTTTCTTACCTTCCCAAATTGCTTGTTTGATTTATAACGTGACATAATTATCCCATCTTCTCTCAAGTGCACCCCCACATCCGTCGCAGATCTACCGTACGATGTTTGTAGATATGCGGCTGAGATTGATCGCAGACGTCGCGGCACCAGATGTGCACATCATCCAGCACCCCTCCCTCGTCAAGAACATCAGCCTCTCCAAGTCAACGCTCAAGGGTGAGTCAACTCTAGTCAACGCAAGTCAACTCTGAAAGGTGCTCCTGATGTGACGTGCACATCATCCAGCACCCCTCCCTCGGCAAGAACATCAGCCTTTCCAAGTCGACGCTCAAGGGTGAGTGAGTCAACGCAAGTCAGCACAAGTCAACGCGAGTCATTACAAGTGTTGAGAGGTTGTTCAAGTGCCAGACGTGCACATCATCCACCATCCCTCCCTCAGCAAGAACATCAGCCTTTCCAAATCCACACTCAAAGGTGCGTGTGAGTCAGCACAAGTCAACGCAAGTCAATGCAAGTGCTGAGATGTCTGGAAGTTGTTGCGGCGCCCGATGTGCACATCACCCAGCATCCCACCCTCAGCAAGAACAAAGTTACTTTTGAGTCGACTCAAAAGTCAGCACAAGTCAACACAAGTCAATGCAAGCGTTGAGATATCTGGAAGTTGTCGCGGCGCCAGACGTGCACATCATCCAGCACCCCTCCCTCAGCAAGAACATCAGCCTTTCCAAGTCCACACTGAAAGGTGAGTGAGTCAACACAAGTCAACGAACTTCAATGCGAGTCAACAAACTTCAATGCAAGAGAATTCTCAGGGGCGAGTGAATGCAAGCCAACGCTCAAGCATGGGTAAACTTGAGTCAATGCAAGTCAACGCGAGTCAACGCCCCCTTCCTCCGTCTTCCCCACCAGGCGTGTCCAGCTGTCACAAGGAGTACTGTGCCAACATCGGCATCAGCGCGTCTCTAGTGATGGTGATTGTGGTAACCACGCAGGGCCCTCAGAGCACCAGTCAACACGAGTCAAGACGAGTGAACACGAGTCAATGCAACACGAGTCAATGCACAACTCAACCCAGGTCAACGCCCTTCTCTCCCCCCCACCAGGCGTGTCCAGCTGTCACAAGGAGTACTGCACAAACATCGGCATCGGGGCGTCACTAGTCATGGCGATAGTGGTAACCACACGGGGCCCGCAGAGCACCAGTGTGCGCAAGCTGTGGGGGCTGGTGGTATGCCACCACATGGCGCCGCGCTTCCTGCCCTACCCACAGCGGTTCGCCTGTGACTTCCTGCTGCAGGTGGGTGAATGGGTGAATGGGTGAAGGGGTGAATGGGTGGGTGGGTACGTGAATGGCTGTGGGGGCCTGCCCTGCGACTTCCTGCTTCAGGTGGGTGGGTGAATGGGTGGTGGTTGGGTGGGTGGGCCTCTTTCCTTCCAAACGGTCCTTTCTCCTCTTCGTTCCGGTGAAATGGCCCAGGTGGTAACCACACAGGGCCCTCACAGCACCAGGGAGCAGCAAGCTGTGGGGGCTGGTGTGGTGGTTGCCACCACATGTCGCCTCGCTTCCTGCCCTATCCCCAGCGATTCGCCTGCGACTTTCTCTTACAGGTGGGTGGGTGGGTTGGTGGGTTGGGTTCGCTCAACAGATGCTGTGGCTTGTCATTATTGAAGTGCCATGAAAAGCACTCCCTCTTCAGCCCCCCCATCACCTCTCTGCTCTTCTCCATTTTTTAGGCGCCTCGAAAATCGCCTCAAAAGGAGCCTCAAAAAGCACTCCCTCTCATCAGCCCCCGCATCACTTCTCTGCAATTCTCCATCTTCCTCCCCATCTCCCCTTTTGAGGAGCCTCAAAAGTAGCGCACCCTCATCAACCCCCGCATCACTTCTCTGCTCTTCTCCATCTTCCTCCCCATCGCCCCCATCGTCAGGCCTTCGCCGTGCAGCTAGCCATGCAGCTGGAGCCAGCAGAGCATGCAGCGGAGCGACTCACTTGTCTCACCATCTCCACCCCTCCTCATCCCCTCCCCCACCATCTCCACCCCTCCTCATCCCCTCCCCCACCATCTCCAGCCATGGAGCTTGAGGCGGCAGAGTGCTTCGCTTTCAACTCAACTCTCCCTATCCACCTCACCTCCCCCCATATATCCCCTCCATCTCAACAGGCCTTCGCCCTGCAGCTACCCATGGAGCTGGAGCCAGCAGAGCATGCAGCGGAGCAACTCATTGAACTCCCTCAACCATACCCCATCCATCTCTCTCCTCCCCGTATCCATCTCATCGTCTTACCAGGCCTTCGCCCTGCAGCTAGCCATGGAGTTAGAGGCGGCAGAGCATGCAGCGGAGCGCCGCACGATGCAGATGCAGGCCATTCTGTGCGGCATGCTGTCCAGGGACGTACCTCTGGGGCTGGTGCGACAGAGCCCCAACATCAAAGACCTGGTGAGTCCATCCTTCCTTCCTTCCATGGCAAAAGGCACCGATTCTAGAAAAAATGGAGCAATGAACGATGCAGATGCAGGCGATTCTGTGTGGCATGCTGTCCAGGGACGTGCCTCTGGGGCTGGAGCGACAGAGCCCCAACATCAAAGACCTGGTGGGTCCATCCTTCAAAGCCACCTGACCTAGCATGCAACAAGGCGACTAATGAGTCGACTCCAAAGCCACCTCGTAAGTGGGAAGGGTACGGCTGGACCTAGCATGCAGCAGAGCGGCGCCTATTTTTGAGTCGACTCAAACCTAGCATGCAGCAGAGCGGCGCCTGCTGATGCAGATGCAGATACAGATGCAGATGCAGATGCAGATACAGATGCAGATGCAGATACAGATACAGATACAGATGCAGATGCAGATGCAGATGCAGATGCAGATGCAGGGCCACTCCCTCCCTCTTGCTCTCTCTCCCTCCCTTCCTCCCTCACTCCCTTCCTCCCTCACTCCCTCACTCCTTCACTCCCTCCCTCACTCCATCCCGCAATCCCTCCCTCCCTCTCGCCGTCTCTCCCTCCCTCACTCACTCACTACCTCAATCTATCATTCCCTCCCTCCCTCCCTCCCTCCCTCCCTCCCTCCCTCCCTCCCTCCCTCCCTCCTCCCTCCCTCCCTCCCTGCCTCCCTCCCTCCCTCCCTCCCTCCCTCCCTCCCTCCCTCCCTCCCTCCCTCCCTCCCTCCCTCCCTCCCTCCCTCCCTCCCTCCCTGCCTCCCTCCCTCCCTGCCTCCCTCCCTCCCTCCCTCCCTCCCTCCCTCCCTCCCTCCCTCCCTCCCTCCCTCCCTCCCTCCCTCCCTCCCTCCCTCCCTCCCTCCCTCCCTCCCTCCCTCCCTCCCTCCCTCCCTCCCTCCCTCCCTCCCCCCCCCCAGGTGCCATCGGACGGGGCGGTGCTGCTGCATGCGGGCAGGGCATGGTGGGTGGGGGCGTGCCCAGCAGAGGACGACATGAAGGAGATCGCGCGCTGGCTGCGCCTCAAAGACACCCACCTGCTGCAACACACCGTCTTTGTCACCAACTCTCTGGAACAAGCTGGGCTGCCCTTCGCGTCTCGCCTCGCCCCGGCTGTCTGCGGGCTCGCTGCTGCCATGGTGTCGAGCCGAGGAGACTTCCTCATGTGGTTCCGATCTGGTGAGCATTGAGGTTCAGGATCTAGGGTTTCGGGTTTAGGGCGCCTCAAAGTCACCCACCTGCTGCACCACACCGTCTTTGTCACAAATTCTCTGGAGCAAGCTGGGCTGCCCTTTGCCTCCTGCCTCGCCCCAGCTGTGTGTGGGCTGGCTGCTGCTATCGTGTCAAGCCGAGGAGATTTCCTCATGTGGTTTCGGTCAGGTGAGGGTTCAGTTCGAGGTTTCGGGTTTCCGGTACAGTCTTTCCTCTCATGCCTTCCTTCGCCTCCCGCCTCGCCCCCGCTGTGTGTGGGCTGTGTGTCAAGCCGAGAAGACTTCCTCATGTGGTTTCGGTCAGGTGAGGATTGAGGTTCAGGGTTTCGGTTTCAGGTTTAGAATCCAGTCCTTTCCTATCCATTCTCACTTTGCCTCCCGCCTCGCCCCGACTTTGTGCGGGTTGGCTGCTGCGATGGTGTCAAGCCGAGAAGACTTTCTCATGCGGTCTCAATATCATGTGAGCGGGGCACAAGGACAGCCACACAGTGAGGGGGGGCGCCACCATGCATTCCGTTGATGCCTTCTCCCTCTCCCCCTCTCCCCCTCTCGCCCTCTCCCCCTCTCCCCCTCTCCCCATCTCCCCATCTCCCCTGTGCTTTGGCAGGCATTGAGAGGAACATTACTTGGGCGGGGCACAAGGACTCGCATACAGTGAGAGAGGGCGCCACCATGCATCCCCGCAACTCGTTTGCGGCGTATCTTGAAGTGGTGAAGCTGCAGAGCCAGCCCTGGACTGATGCTGAGGTGAGTGAATAATAGGGCACACAGCCACACAGAACCGCTCAGTACCACACAGAACTGCACACAGCCGCACACAGCCAACCACACAGTCGCACACAGGGAGTGCACCACCATGCATCCCTGTAAATGGTTTGCTGCTTACCTTGAAGTGGTGAAGCTGCAGAGCCAGCCCTGGACTGATGCTGAGGTGAGGAGAGATAGGGTTGAGCAGAGAGGGCACAGAATCGCACACAGCCACAGACAGCCGCTCAGAACCGCACAAAACCGCACAGAACTGCACACATCTGCAGAAAGGAGACAGCACCACGATGCAACTCCCTGCGACTCCCTGCTCACCTCGCCCCCCTGCTGGTCCTCTTCCCCATCTCTTGGAACCTGCTGATACCCACCGCTGATGCTCTCCACCCCTTGGAACCTCTTTCTTTACCCCTCAAACCCCTTCCCACTCATCCCTATCCAAGGTGGACGCCATGCAAGGGCTGCGCCTCATAGTGAAGGACTCACTGCCCCACCCTGAGCCGCAAGACCTGAAGCTGAAGATCCAGGTGAGCGTGGCACTGAGTTGACTTTTGAGTCGACTCAAAAGAAGGACTCGCTGCCCCACCCTGAGCCGCAAGACCTGAAGCTGAAGATCCAGGTGAGCGTGGCACTGGCTGTCTGTTAAGTCGTTGCTTTAGCCACCAACCAGGTCTCAAAGTCATTGTGCTGACACCACATACATGTATTCATAGGATGGTTGTGGTGCTTGTGGTTAGGCTGTGCTGTGTGTAACTCCTCACCCCTCTGAACCTGACCAGACCCAGCTGAACGCAGAGCGCTTGACCAGCCAGTCCCAGTTGACAGAGGTTGTCCGCATGCTGGAGTCCCAGCTCAAGTCGGCCCACACGCCCACCATCGGACTGAACCACCCTTTTCCTCCTCTCTCCTCCTCTCTCCTCCTCTCCCCTCCCCTCCGTCTCCTCCTTGACCCACCAGGCTCAGCTGAACGCGGAGCGTCTGACCATCCAGTCGCAGCTCAAAGAGGTCACACGTACACTAGAAAGCCAGCTAGAATCCGCCCACACGCCCATCATCGGCATCAGCAGCGACGGCACCGTCACCGAGTTCAACAGCAAGGCCGCCCACATCACCCTCTTGCTTGCCTCCTCCACCCTGCCTTGTGTCTCCCTACCTACCCCTCCTCTCCCCTCCTCTCCCCTCCTCTCCCCTCCTCTCCCCTCCTCTCCCCTCCTCTCCCCTCCTCTCCTGCTTTCGTTGCCTTTCCTTGACCCACCAGGCCCAGCTGAATGCAGAGCGGCTCACCATCCAGTCACAGCTCAAAGAGGTCGCCAAGACACTAGAAAACCAGCTCGAATCCGCCCACACGCCCATCATCGGCATCAGCAGCGACGGCACCGTTACCGAGTTCAACAGCAAGGCCGCCCACATCACGCGGCGGGCCAAGAGCGAGGTTCTCGGGAGCAACTTCTTTGCGAGCGTGCTGGCTCCCGAGTCTCATGCGCACTTTGTGGCTGCTATGGAGGTGCTGGCGGAAGGGGAGGACGTCCAGCCGTTTGATGTGGCTCTGCTGGCGCGGTCTGCTGATTCTGTTGATGCTGCCGCTGCTGCTGATGCTGCCGCCGCTGCTGCTGCCGCCGCCGCCGCTGCTGCTGCTGCTGCTGCTGCTGCTGCTGCTGGTGGTAATGGAGCAGGTGGAGCAGGAGGAGGGGCAGGAGGAGGAGGAGGAGGAGGAGGAGGAGGAGGAGGAGGAAGGGGAGGAGGGGTGGTGGGGGAGTTGGATCGGTTGGTGCATGTGTTGGTGAGCGCGTATGGGCAGCACGACCGGCACGGGAACCTGATGAGCGTGCGGCTGATGGGTCAAGACATCACCGCGCTTAAAGTGCTGGCTGGGGAGGTGAGTAGGGGTGGATATCACTCACACACACAGGGCCATGGCAACCTGATGAGCGTGCGGCTGATGGGTCAACACATCACCGCGCTTAAAGTGCTGGCTGGGGAGGTGAGTAAGGGGGGAGGCGAGGGGATGAAGGGGGGAGCGGGAGGGGGATGGGCATGTGATGGTGAGATAAAGTCAAAGGGACACACACGCACAGTGACAGAGGCACACACGCATAGTGACAGGCACACACGCACAGTGACAGAGGCACACACGCACAGTGACAGAGGCACACACGCACAGTGACAGAGGCACACACGCACAGTGACAGAGGCACACACGCACAGTGACAGAGGCACACATGCACAGTGACAGGCACACACGCACAGTGACAGAGGCACACACGCACAGTGACAGAGGCACACACGCACAGAGGCGGCAACCGGCGGCTGGGTGTGCGAGTCATGGGGCATCACGTCACCGCGCTCAATGTGCTAAAGAGGTGACTTTTGAGTCGACTCACGAGTCACTGCGAGTCATGGGGCATCACGTCACCGCGCTCAATGTGCTAAAGAGGTGACTTTTGAGTCGACTCACGAGTCACTGCGAGTCATGGGGCATCACGCCACCGCGCTCAATGTGCTAAAGAGGTGACTTTTGAGTCGACTCACGAGTCACTGCGAGTCATGGGGCATCACGCCACCGCGCTCAAAGTGCTGGCAGGGGAGGTGAGTAAGGCACAGAGGGGCTGATGGGGCATCACGTCATGGCAACCTGCTGAGCATGCGGCTGATGGGGCATCACGTCATGGCAACCTGCTGAGCATGCGGCTGATGGGGCATCACGCCACCGCGCTCAATGTGCTGGCAGGGGAGGTGAGAGAAGGGGGAGGGGAAAGGGAGGAGGGACACATAAAGAGACACACAGGTGAGCATACACACACCGACAGCAGACACACTGAGGTTACTTCCAAGGCAACCTCTTAGGCCCGGGCAGCTGTGGACCAATCGAATCATTCCTCTCCTTCCCCTTTTCTCCCCTATCCCTCCCCCTCCCCCTCCCCCTCCCCCTCCCCCTCCCCCTCCCCCTCCCCCTCCCCCTCCTCCTCCCCCTCCTTGCCCCTCTCTTCAGTACAAGATGCCCGAAGCGGAGGCTCGGGCAGCTGTGGACCAATCAGATCTCTTGGTTTTCACGGTGGACGAGTGCGGGCGGGTGACCGAATGGAATGCTGCCATGGAGCAGATCAGCGGGCTGCCCCGAGAAAAAGTTGTGGGGAGGCGACTTGTGGGGGAGGTGCTTAGCAGCAATCCCATGCTGCTCATTCCGGACCAGGTGAGAAACGGTGCTGCTGATTCCGACCAGGTGAGAAACGGTGCTGCTGATTCCGAGCAGGCGAACAATAGTGGTTGTTGTTCATTCCCGACCAGGTGAGAAGCGGTGCTGTTGGTTCCGACCAGGTGATTAACAATGTCTGTGGCTTGTGGGGGAGGTGGCTTGTGGGGGAGGTGCTTAGCAGCAACCCCATGCTGCTCATTCCTGACCAGGAATGTGGCTTGTGGGGCGTTTACGGGGAGGCAGCTTGTGGGGGAGGTGGCTTGTGGGGGAAGGTGGCTTTTGGGGGAGGTGGCTAGTGGGGGAGGTGGCTTGTGGGGGAAGGTGGCTTGTGGGATTAGTAGGTGCTGAGCAGCAATCCGATGCTGCTCATTCCGGACCATGTAAAAGTTCATTTTGAGGCGCCTCAAAATCCGTGTGTAGTGAGGTGCATTTTGAGGCGCCTCAAAAAGCAGCAATCCGATGCTGCTCATTCCGGACCATGTAAAGTTCATTTTGAGGCGCCTCAAAATCCGTGTGTAGTGAGGTGCATTTTGAGGCGCCTCAAAAAGCAGCATATTGATGCTGCTCATTCCGGACCAGGTAAAGTTCATTTTGAGGCGCCTCAAAATCCGTGTGTAGTGAGGTGCATTTTGAGGCGCCTCAAAAAGCAGCAATCCGATGCTGCTCATTCCGGACCAGGTAAAGTTCATTTTGAGGCGCCTCAAAATCCGTGTGTAGTGAGGTGCATTTTGAGGCGCCTCAAAAAGCAGCAATCCGATGCTGCTCATTCCGGACCATGTAAAGTTCATTTTGAGGCGCCTCAAAATCCGTTTGTAGTGAGGTGCATTTTGAGGCGCCTCAAAAAGCAGCAATCCGATGCTGCTCATTCCGGACCATGTAAAGTTCATTTTGAGGCGCCTCAAAATACGTGTGTAGTGAGGTGCATTTTGAGGCGCCTCAAAAATCAGCAATCCGATGCTGCTCATTCCGGACCATGTAAAGTTCATTTTGAGGCGCCTCAAAAAGCAGCAATCCGATGCTGCTCATTCCGGACCATGTAAAGTTCATTTTGAGGCGCCTCAAAAAGCAGCAATCCGATGCTGCTCATTCCGGACCATGTAAAGTTCATTTTGAGGCGCCTCAAAAAGCAGCAATCCGATGCTGCTCATTCCGGACCAGGTAAAGACTGGTGCTTGTGGCTCGCTCGCTGGGGGAGGTGGCTTGTGGGGGAAGGTGGCTTGTGGACAGGCGACTTGTGGGGGAGGTGCTTAGCAGAAATCCCATGCTGCTGTTTCCCGACCAGGTGAAGAACGGTGCTTGTGGTTTGTGGGGGAGGTGGCTTGTGGGGGAGTTGGTGTTGCTACGTAATAAGTGAACCTGGATGGGCAGGACACGAGAAACCACGAGCTGCGGCTCACTTCCTTCCACATCATCCAACATCACCCCACATCACCCCACATCACCCCACATCACCCCTGCTCACCCCACATCACCCCTGGTCACCCCACATCACCACACATCACCCCACGCACATCACCCCTCATCACCCCACATCACCCCACCCCGTTTCCATTCACTCCTACAGGACAATCTGGTGACGTTTGAGATCTCCCTGTGGCTCTGAACGGGCGGGACATGAGGAACTACGAGCTACAACCCCAGCTCACTCCCCTCAACATCACCCCATCCCCCCTTCCCCGCAACCCCCTTCACCACCTTCACTCCTGCAGGACAATCTGGTAATGTTTGAGATCGCTCTGTGCCAAGGACTAAATGGGCGGGACACGAGGAACTACGAGCTACAACCCCAGCTCACTCCCCTCACATCACCCCCACATCACTCCCTCACCCATCCTCCCCTCCCGTGCAGGATAACTTGGTAATGTTTGAGATCGCCCTCTGTCAGGCTCTCAATGGGAGGGACACGAGGAACCACGAGCTGCAGCTCAAGACGTGGGATGGCCGCCCCATGGACACTCTCCTGCACATCATCAGCAGGTGCAGTACGGTGGAGTGTGATACGGTACGGTATGGCATGGTACAATGCAGTTGATACGGTGCAATGCAGGATAAGCTGGTGGCCCTCTGCCAGGCTCTGAACGGGAGACACAAAAGGAACCACGAGCTGCAGCTCAAGACGTGGGACGGCCGCCCCATGGACACTCTCCTGCACATCATCAGCAGGTGCGATGTGGTGCACTGTGCTGCCATGAGGTAAGTTGCGGTGCAGTGCGGTTTGGTGCATCGCAATGCAGGATAAGTTGGTAACCCTGTCTCAGGCTAGGAACCACGAGCTGCAGCTCAAGACGTGGAACGGCTGCCCCATGGACACTCTCCTGCACATCATCAGCAGATGCAGTGTGGTGCTGTGCGGTGCAGTGTGGTACGGTACGGTGCGGCATGGTACAATGCGGGATAAGTTGGTAGCCCTGTGCCAGGCACTCATCGGGAGGGACACGAGGAACCACAAGCTGCAGCTCAAGACGTGGGACGGCCGCCCATGGACACTCTCCTGCACATCATCAGCAGGTACAGTGCGGTGCAATGGAGTTGAGGCAGGGTACAGTGGGCTGCAAGGTGGTCCAGTGCGGTTCTGCGTTGTGATGTGAATGTGGTGGTTTAGAGTGCAATGCTGTCATCAACGCAATGCATTGCAGTGGATTGCGGTGGATTGCGGTGTATTGTGGTGCAGTGTGGTGGAGCAGAGTCTGTGCTGTGGTGTTGGAGGGCAGTGGAGAGGTGACCACGCGAGCCAACTTCCTTTCTTCCTCCCTCCCTACATCTGCCCGTAAATGCATTCCTATCCCCATAACAGGCGCTCCCCCACAGGCGAGCCGGTGGGAGCGACGTGCTTCATGCAAGATGTGGTAGAGAGGCGAGCAGCAGAGAATGCATCGGCTATGAAGATGGTGGCAGAGGCGGCCAGCCAGGCCAAGACCATGCAGCTGGCGTGCTTGTGCCACGAGGTATGCAGAGGGGTTGAGTGCGGTGAGGAGGTGTGGCATGTGGTAATAGTGGTTCATTGATGGATTGAGTGCGGTAAAGGCAGGTCAAAACTTGGGGGCTGGCGTGGGCAGCAGAGAATGCATCGGCAATGAAGATGGTGGCAGAGGCGGCGAGTCAGGCCAAAACCATGCAGCTGGCATGCTTGTGCCACGAGGTATGCAGAGGGGTTGAGTGCGGTGAGGAGGTGTGACATGTGGTAATAGTGGTTCATTGATGGGTTGAGTGCGGTAAAGGCAGGTCAAAACTTGGGGGCTGACGTGGGCAGCAGAGAATGCATCGGCAATGAAGATGGTGGCAGAGGCGGCGAGTCAGGCCAAAACCATGCAGCTGGCATGCTTGTGCGCAGAGGGGTTGAGTGCGGTGAGGAGGTGTGCTGTGCGTTGAAATGAGGTGCTGGGTGTGTTGAGCGAATGCATCTGCAATGAAGATGGTGGCAGAGGCCGCAGCTGGCATGCCTGTCCCCCATGCAGCTGGCATGCCTGTCCCCCATGCAGCTGGCATGCCTGTCCCCCATGCAGCTGGCATGCCTGTCCCCCATGCAGCTGGCATGCCTGTCCCCCATGCAGCTGGCATGCCTGTCCCCCATGCAGCTGGCATGCCTGTCCCCCATGCAGCTGGCATGCCTGTCCCCCATGCAGCTGGCATGCCTGTCTCCCATGCAGCTGGCATGCCTGTCCCCCATGCAGCTGGCATGCCTGTCCCCCATGCAGCTGGCATGCCTGTCCCCCATGCAGCTGGCATGCCTTTCCCCCATGCAGCTGGCATGCCTTTCCCCCATGCAGCTGGCATGCCTTTCCCCCATGCAGCTGGCATGCCTGCCCCCCATGCATCCTTGCCCTCCACCCCCTTTCCCTTCCTGCATCCCCGCATGCACACCCCATGCATGCCACGCCTAATCTGTGACGCTACCCTACATCCCCCACATGTAATCCCCCACCGTCAGGTCCTCAACCCTCTGAACGGCATCCTCTCCTCCATCAGCTTCATGGAGGGCACAGAGATGTCGTCAGATCAGAGATATTCATCTGCTTCACCCCATTGGCCCTGTGCCCAGCGCCCCAATGCGTCTCTCTCCCCACCCAACCCACCCTTCCCTGCCTGCATCCCCTCCCCCCGCATCATCACCCCGCATCATCACCCCGCATCATCACCCCGCATCATCACCCCGCATCATCACCCCGCATCATCACCCCACATCATCACCCCCCATCATCACCCCGCATCATCACCCCGCATCATCACCCCGCATCATCACCCCGCATCATCACCCCGCATCATCACCTCGCATCATCACCCCGCATCATCACCCCGCATCATCACCCCACATCATCACCCCGCATCATCACCCCGCATCATCACCCCGCATCATCACCCCGCATCATCACCCCGCATCATCACCCCGCATCATCACCCCGCATCATCACCCCGCATCATCACCCCGCATCATCACCCCGCATCATCACCCCGCATCATCACCCCGCATCATCACCCCGCATCATCACCCCGCATCATCACCCCGCATCATCACCCCGCATCATCACCCCGCATCATCACCCCGCATCATCACCCCCATCATCACCCCGCATCATCACCCCGCATCATCACCCCGCATCATCACCCCGCATCATCACCCCGCATCATCACCCCCATCATCACCCCCATCAGATCCGCAACCCTCTGAACGGCATCCTCTCATCCATCAGCTTCATGGAGGGCACAGAGATGTCATCCGACCAGCGGGACCTGCTGCACGCCACCTCGGCGTGCGGGTACGTATGTGTGTCTTCTTTGTCCGTCCGCTCTTCTCTTGAGGCGTCTCAGTAAACAGCTTCATGGAGGGCACAGAGATGTCATCGGACCAGTGGGACCTGCTGCACGCCACCAGCGCATGCGGGTATGTACATGTGTCACTCTGCTCTGCCATCCAATCCAGCACCGTGATTCACCCCCTTTCACCGCTCTTCATCTGCCCTTACCCTTGTTCACCCCTGGTCACCCCTCCATATCGCCCTCAACAGCAAGTATCTACGGCGAGTGGTGGATAATGTGTTGGATCTGAGCAAACTCGAGGAGGGGAAGCTGGAGGTGGAGAGCCGGCTAGCACCATGAGGAGTCACCTGCTGACACTGTGATTCACCCCTTGTCACCCCTCTACATCCCTCCTCACCCCCCTGTCACTTTACAGCAAGTACCTGCGGAGGGTGGTGGACAATGTGTTGGATCTGAGCAAGCTCGAGAAGGGGAAGCTGGAGGTGGAGAGCCGGCTAGCACCGTGTTTCAGCTGCTGTCACCGTAATTCACCCCTTGTCACCCCTCTGCATCCCATATCACCATTGTGTACTGTTCTACCCACCAGGAAGTATCTGCGGAGGGTCGTGGACAATGTATTGGATCTGAGCAAGCTAGAGGAGGGCAAGCTGGAGGTGGAGAGTGAACCGTTTGAGCTCATTCACGTGGTGGACGCCGTGATTGCACAGGTGAGTCCCTCCCTCCCCACATTTTTTTGGTGGGTGGGTCGAATTTCACCTCTTTCCCTAGCTGTGTAACCCCCATCATGCAAGCTGGAGGTGGAGAGCGAGCCGTTTGAGCTCATCCACGTGGTTGACGCCGTGATTGCACAGGTGGTGGGATGGAGGGAGGCATGTGAATGCGGGAGACGACAAGGGTCTGCAGGTGTTCTTCTCGGTGAAGTTACAGTGTGCCAACTGTAACGGTCGGTGCTCCCTCCTCCCCCTGGCCTTCCCCCCTCCCCTCCCCCCTTCTCTCCCCAGGAACATGAGAATGCGGGCAACGACAAGGGCCTGCAGGTGTTTTGCTCGGTGAAGCCGCAGTGTGCCGATGTGATTGTAAAGGGCGACAAGCAGCGCGTGCAGCAGATCGTTGCAAACTTCCTGTCCCTTTCCCGCTACCCTCCACCTTCTCCTCCTCAACTCCCCTCCCTTCTCCCCTCCCGCTGTTCGCGCGTCCCCTGTTCTTCTCCCACCTTTCCGGCCCGTTTTACCCACGCCAGGAGCATGAGAATGCGGGTGACAAGGGCTTACAAGTCTTCTGCTCAGTTGAACCTCAATGCGCCGACGTGATTGTAAAGGGCGACAAGCACCGCGTGCAGCAGATTGTCGCAAACTTCTTCCGTAACGCAGTGGAGTACACCCAGCAAGGCTGGATCGAGGTGCAGCTCTATAAAGCATCCGGCGAAGTGGCTTCTAAGGAGTATGGAAGAGACGCGCTGGCCGGAAGGCTCGTGCCCGGCCAGCAGACTGGGCAGCGGACCGGGCAGGGCCGAAACGTTTCGGCTGACGGGGAGGAGATTTTTTCGTTCGTCTTTTGTGTGGCGGATTCAGGCCCGGGGTTGAGTGAGGAGCAGCGGCAGCATGTGTTTTCGGGCATGGATCCTAGCTTGGCACCAGCCATCTCCAGTGGTGCTTCTGACACTGAATCGCGGTGAGTAAGGCTGCTACTACTCCCGACGCTGGTGAGAGGTGGGTGCTGGGTTGTGAGCCTGAGCCTCATAGTAAGCCAGCAGGGTGGGGCCTGAGCCTCATAGTAAGCCAGAAGCTCGCCTCGCTGATGAACGGCACTCTCTCTTGCGACTCTGCCATTCCCCCCCCTCCAAATGCTCCTCCTTCCTTCTGTTGTGTGACTTTCCCTCCCCTTTTCCATCTGCCCCTCTTTCCCAGCAGCTCCTCTGCCCCAGCAGGATCAGGCCTGGGACTTATCGTAATTCAGAAGCTCGCCTCTCTCATGCACGGCACTCTCTCCTGCCACTCCGCCCCCTTCCAACGCCCCTCCTTCCATCTTTACATGCCCTGCCCCTGATCCCCTCTCTTCTCTCGCCCCTTTCCGCCCTCTTCCCAGCAGCTCCTCTGCCCCAGCGGGATCAGGCCTGGGGCTTATCGTAAGTCAGAAGCTCGCCTCACTCATGCACGGCACTCTCTCCTGCGACTCTACCCTCTCGCAAGGCTCCTCCTTCCGCCTCTCCCTCTCGCTCCCCTTCGCCGGCCGTTCCAATCACGCCGACCCTGCTGACGCTGGCGCTGACATGGCGGCGGGCCATGCCAGCCTGGCGCCAGGTGGCATGATGAGCTGTTACTTGAGCAACCGGGTGAAAGGGGTGGTGTATTCGTCGGTGGGGGTGTGGAGTAGTGCCGAGGAGATAGCAGCTGCACCAGTTGTACCTCCCTCTCTCTCCAGAAGCCTCCCTGCTTCTCTGTCTACCCCAACTGGCACGGCTGCTGGTGCTGCTGCTGCAGGGAGGGTGCAGACTGGACCAGGCTTATCTGGAGCAGGCTTATCTGGAGGAGCACATGTGACAGCTGGAATGGCAGGCATGACCCTTACTGGAGCACCCTCTCGTGGTCTTGCCCCTGGGGCTGCTGCTGGTGCCGCTGGTGCCACTGCTGGTGCCACTGCTGGTGCTGCTGGTGCAAATACCGCCAGTCCTTTCACCAGCACAACTACCTATGGCGATGACTCTCTCACAGCTGCTGCTGCTGCTGTCTCTGGGACCACCGGTTCTGCTTCATTTGCTTCTGCTGGTGCTCCTGCTGCTGCTGCTGCTGCGGCAGCTGCTGCTATTCCGAGTTATAATCGTAACGGGGCGGTCACGGCACAAGTGGGCGGAGGAGCAGGAGGACATGGAGGAGGAAATGACAGTCGGGTGTTTTCGAGGTTGGAAAGCCATGGTTCGGAAGAGGGCTCGGCACATGCGGCAGCGGAGGATGCTGACGTGGACGCTGCTGCGCTGGCGGCAATCGTTGAGCTGGAGGCTGCATATGGTGGTCGGGTAATGGTGCAGGTGTTACGAGAGGTGGTGGATTTCCGGGAAGTTGCGGTCTTGGTGGAAGTGGGTGTGATGAAGGAAATGGGTGACAATGGAGGCATGGAAAATAAAGATGGGACTGCGGGAAGCAACGAGATGGCTATTGTGAGTACGCAGCAATGGGGCTCAGCGCTGAGACTTGGGCCATTGGCTGATGCGTTGCGCAGTGCAACGAAAGCGGCGGTTGTAGCGGCCAACCGGACGCTTATAGCAGCACAAGCTCGAGGCGGAGGAGTTCACGGGCATGTGGTGTGCTAAGGATTCTTTGCTATGTATCATGTATAGGGCTAGTAGTTGTTTCTCTAGTCGTATGATTGTTTTGTTCTTTTGTGCATGTAACTTAGCCCACTTTGTTTGGTTTTTGTTCTTATGAAGTCGTCTACTGACGCGTAATGTGACTTCGCGTTGACGTGTCATTTGACGCCTTGCCTTCTGCCACGTGTTCCTCAGACCCATCCATGGAACAGCCAGTGTTAGTTCGTTCATCGTCCAGAGCGGTTCAGTAAGATTCAACACGGTAGAAAACTAGTCTCATGCCGTACTGCCTTTGACCGTATTGCAACGAACTAAACCGTGCTGGGGGAGACTTCCCCGAGCGTCGTGTCAACACCAATCAGATCAGCCCATACCCCCTCACTTCCACGCTCCTCCATTCCGCTTCCCGCCCCTGCCCCCTTCCTCCCATCTGGATTTCCGCCAGTAATTTTCCGCCCGTGCACATCTGGCCGCGCTTTCCCCCCATCTCCCTCGCAAGGCCGATTTCCCCGCAGGCCCGCCTGAAGGGTTTTGGCTCCTACGATTATTTCTACTTACCTAGTTATTTCTTCTCGGTTTCTGTTGCTTGTTCAGCGTCGTTCTGCCTGACGCACATTTTTTTCTCCGTACGATCCGCCGCATCCGTCGGGTCCAGGCTTCCGCCATGGCTGCCATGGCGACATTGCTTCCCGCTCTTAGCTCCGCCGCGGTTTCCGCCAGTTTCTCCACCGTCTCGTCGCGGAGCAAGAGCCTCGCATGTAAGTACCGTAGGTCTCAGGCCCGTTCACTAATATTTTCAGGCTTAGGCTCCCTGATTAGGGTTAGGGTCAAACTTAGTCTCAGGGGCTTTTGAACCTGAGAGTAGAGTATGTTTCCTTCATCACCTACGAGAAGCTACGGCTGGTCTGAGGGTTCGCTGCGTGTTGTAAGATTACCGACCTTTAGCATAACGTTCACGCGTGCAAGAAACTTCGCCAAAGAGTAGTGTGCGAATGGCATTATCTAGCATGCCCCTTGACCCTGGTAGAGCTTCTCCTAGGCAGCACAGGTTGCAAAAATGAGCCTGGACGGAACTGCTAGCTCTTTTGCAGCTCTTCGGAATGGCGGTGCAGGTGAAGGGGCAGACATTGAAGTGTGGGAGTAGAGAAGATAAAGCGGTGTAGCAATAGTAAATCGCGCTCGACCTGTGCGTGCTTAGTTCGAGTTGTGCGTGTTCAGCTCTCGCGTCGCGACTGCGTCGGAGACCTCTAGAAGAATCGTGTATTGAGCTGGACCTACTTAGCTCGTCCGCCTGGTTTTGAGACGTCTCAAAAGTCGTCTAGGGAATCGGGGCCTGTACTGAACCCACTTACCGGTGCCTCATCCGCCTGGTTCACTCATCTGTCTGGCTCATCCCGCGTACTTCATTTCACACCTCCATGTAACCCGCCCGGTCCCTTCATCGGACTTCGTCGATCTTTGTCAACCACCCGTATTGCTAGTCGGAATGCGCGAAGCACTCTTGAGTCGAAGTGACTCCATCACTCTGACTCATTCCGTCCCTCTGTCCTTCCGCCGTCCTCCACTGTCCCTCCTTTCCCTCCCTTCGCATCCCTCAGTCCTTTCTCTCTCTTCCCCCCCCCCCCTTGATATAACGCATTCTTCATGCGTCCCTTTCCCCCTCCCTCCCCTTTTAACCAAACACTTCAAGTCGTTTCACCTAACCCTGGTCTCCCAGTCTCGCATTCCCTACCTTCCGCATTCCGCATTCTCACCCTCCCTTCCGGCAATCCCAAGTGTCTCTGCGCTCCATTCGCCTCGCCCCAAGCCACTTGCCTCTATTCCGTCACCTTTCCCGTGCCCTTTTCCCTTCCCCGCTTCTTCCCCCAACTCCCCCCTCCCCCCCCCCCGCTCTCTCCTCCCGCCATTCCCCCTCCCCTCTTTTCACCCACCCTGGCGAACCCCTCACTTTCTCCATGCGCTCTCTCCGCCTCGTTGTCCCCCAGGCCGCATGCTGCTGTGCCTTTACTTCCCCCTCACCTTGCCACTTTCCTTTCCCGTTCCTCATTCTCCTTCATCTCTCCCCCTCCTCCCCCCCCGCACCCCCCCACCCCCCCCCCCTCCTCTTTTCCCCCAGGCGAGCCCCTCACTTTCTCCATGCGCTCACTCCGCCTCGCCGTCCCCCAGGCCGCCGCCACCACCGCACCAGTGGTCGAGCTGGCAGCTGACGTGGCGGAGGCCACGTCAGCAGTGGAGGAGCTGCCGCTACAGTCAGCAGAGGACATCAAGGCGGCGCGGAAGGAGGAGCAGCGGCGCAAGCGATTGGTGCAGAAGAGGAAGCTGAGGAAGAAGGGCAGATGGCCGCCCTCCAAGATGAAGCAGCACCAGAATGTGTAACGCTGTTATGATGTAACAGAACGCTCGTATGATAACAGTTATAGATAATGGTGTAACCAAGATGTGCAAAAAGTGCTGCTTTGTGTGCAGATTGTTATACAGTACATGCTGCTGACGAACCAAATGCTTGAAGATACCGTATAAGGTGCTGCCTGGGTGCTGTAGAAGCGGATCTGACAAACCACATGCTCCGCACTTGCTGAGTGCTGCTGGCAACAGCAGAGAATATTGTACCATACGGCATGTTGCAGAAGAGGGACAAAGCTGAGAAAAAAAGGGCACAACAACATAGTAGTATAAGATGCATGCAACCCTGTGATGTGACACATGCAAGCAAATCATGTGACACCAAATTCAGTAAATGTAATAAATAGGCATGCAGTTGCAAAGCAATGCAAGGTACAGTAACATTCAGCATGTGCCTACATGGCATCAAGGCATGCCAGAGTTCAAGAGCACAACAACATTAACAACAATACCAATAATACCCACAGCTACACCCACCAACACCAGCAACCATGCCACCACTGTATCAGGCACTGATACAGTCCCTCCCTTGGCCCTTAAAGCCACAAGCCCGGGGAAAACAAACCCTATAATAACCGCTGCGGTACAGCCCATAAACTGGAACACTATCCAGATATCCGGCACCAGCACCGCGCCACAGAAGGCTAAAACGAGGAGGAACACTGTAAGGAGTACGAAACGGACTTGACGCCAAAAACGCCGCCTTTTTGTTGCCTTTTCTTCTGCCCGTCGAATCTCTTCAAGCCTTGCTTCCTCGTCCTCCTCTTCCTCTTCCCCTTCCTCCCCTTCCTCCTCGTCCTCCTCCGTCTCCTCCCCGTCCCTCTCTTCTCCCACCTCCTCATCTCCTACCTCCTCCGCTCCATCCTCATTCCCATCCACTTGAATATATTCCAGGGAATTTACCCTCGTCCTCTCCTTTGTCTGCCCGCTGCTGAAACCAGCTTCCCCATTTACAGCTTCAGATTTGCCATTGCTTGTGGTTCTTCCCTCGTCCCTCTCTCCTCTCCCTTTCCTTCCCAGACAAGCCGACAGCAGCGACGCCACAACCAGCCGCAGCTGAAACAGCGCCAGAGGCAGCGAAAGCACTCTGGAAATCGCATACCCCACCTTCACCCCCTGCCCCAGCGCAACCGCATGAGCCGCGATCACGGGGCTCATTCCTGGAACGACATCCAAGCTTGTGTCGAAATCGTAGAGCACGTCTGTGTGTACATCAGAGCCGAAGAGCACGAGGCCGAAAATGCCGACTGCGAGGTAGACGAGGGTGGTGATGATGACCGAGCAGCGCACGACCGTGCGCATGCGGGGGAGGGAGCGGTCCCTTAGCTCCCTGTAAATAGGGGTCACTGGTGGGATGGAATGGAAAGGTACAGTATAGATATTTGGCCATGGGAGGTAGACGAGGGTGGTGATGATGACCGAGCAGCGCATGCGCATGCAGGGGAGAGAGCGGTCCCTGAGTTCCCTGTAAAGCGGGGTCACTGGTAAGGTGGGGTGGAAAGGAACGGTAAAGTTTGATGGCTATGGGAGGTAGACGAGGGTGGTGATGATGACAGAGCAGCGCACGATGGTGCGCATTCGGGGGAGAGAGCGATCCCTCAACTCCCTGTATATAGGGGTCACTGGCAGAGAGGATGGAAAAAGGGATGTGGCGGGTGGGAAGGAGGAGCAAGATGAGGTGATGATGACAAATCAGCGGACGACGGTTCGCATGCGGGGGAGCGAGCGGAAATCATGAAGCATGGATGTGACTTATACAGTATACTTGCTAAAAAGAACTTAATGGGATCCATCTTGCTTGCTGTCGTTGAGACTAGAGAGGCGCACTCACCGTTGAAATGACATATGAAGATGTATGTGACGACGTTGATGACGCTGAAAACAGCAAGGGCGTGACCATCGTACCATGCTCTTTAAAGAACTTGATACAATCCATCGTACCATTGAAATGGCAAATGAATGAGTTTGTGACGACGTTGATGATGCTGAAAACACCAAGGGCATAACCATTTACTTGTACTCTCTGAAGCAGAACTCGACAGAATCCATCGTTCTCACCATTGAAATGGCATATGAAGGCGTTGGTGACGACGTTGATGACGCTGAAAACGGCAAGGGCATTGCCAGACGTGGCAAAGAGAGGTGGCATGGTGGCAGCACCAGCTGCAATCTTCCCTCCAGACAGCAGCAGCACGAGCAGCACGAAGGCAATTGCCAGGGCCACTGATATCTTGCTCGCGACCTTCATGGACCCTGATTGATAGGAAGGAAATGAAGAGGAGCGAAAAGAGGGATCGAGAGGGAGGCGGAGAGGAACCAAACGATGGGAAGGGGGAGGGGGGTGGGGTGGGAGGGGGCTAAAAAGGAGTTGGAACGAAAAGAGGGATCAGGATAATGGGGAAGAGGAACCAAACAATGGGGACGGGGAGGGGGGGGGGGTGGGAGATGACTAACAAGGAGTTGTTTCTAAGACGTCTCAACAACCATATATTATTGAATGGAAAGGAAGAGAAAAGAAAAGAGGGATCGAGAGCGTGGCAGAGAGGACCCAAACGATGGGGAAGGGGAGGGAGGGCTAACAAGGGGTTGGGTTCAAGGAGCAAGACGGAGAGAGATGGTAGTAAAGCAATCATGAAACACGGAATATGGGACATGTCACACAACACGGAACATGAAACATGGATGGGATGTGACATTGCGACATTGGACGTCTATGTATCAACAATCAGTGTCAAGCACATTCTGAATGCAAGACTTACCGAGTCTGTCTTGTAGGCAGAGAGGCAGAATAAGGAGAATGACTATAGAGAGGATAGACTTTCTGGCCACGTCTGGGGACAAGTGCAGCTGATCCAGTGGCAGAACGCCAGGTCCTGTTGCGCTGCCTACAAGCACATCCCCTGCAGTCACACATGGGAAATGAACATGGAAGTAGGGAGGGAAAACGGGAAGTAGGAAGGGAAAACGGCAAGTAGAATACGAGAGTGTGTATTTTATCAAGGATAATAATTCACAACAGCATATGGATGCCTATGCAGCTTCGGCAGTAACATTGGTGACGTCCACAGGAAGGGCAGATGAGAATGTGTGGTACAAACAAGAGTCACAAAACCTTTATGAGAATTGTAGTGTAATCGATTGGAGTGAATGGAAGTTGTGAATGAGATATCAAACAACACTATTGGAAATTTTGTTTCAGTGCTCCAATTTACAATTAGCATTGGAACAAGGAGTGAAACCCTCACTCACCGATGATATCAAGGAACACCATCATGAGACCAAGGTTGTTGACGACAACGAACGACACCTTTTCTGATGCTCCTTAAAATGCTTAACACTCACCGATAATATCAAGGAACACCATCATGAGACCCAAATTGTTGACAAAAATCACCACCACTCACTGATAATATCAAGGAACACCATCATGTCATGAGGCCCAAATTGTTGACAACAATCACCACCACTCACCGATGATATCAAGGAACACCATCATGAGGCCCAAGTTGTTGACAACAATCGACACCTGCAGCACCAGCCGTCCTGTGCTTCCCAGAGCCGTAGCCACCGTGTGGTTATAACTCAGCTTCTCCTCATCCCACATGCCGAAACTGCGGCTGCCAAACACCTTTTAGGCCGCTAAAAGTGTGATACACTCACCAATAATATCAAGAAACACCATCATGAGGCCGAGGTTGTTGACAACAATGGACAACTGCAGCACCAGCCGTCCCGTGCTTCCCAGAGCCGTAGCCACAGTGTGGTTATAACTCAGCTTCTCCTCATCCCGCATACTGAAACTGCGGCTGCCAACACCGCTGAAATTCCCTCCATTGCTAGCGTTTGCTTTTCTTCCCAGCTCTCTGGGATTGCCGTCTCTGCCTCTTCCTGCTGCTCCCGCGGCGTCATTTGACGTGTCAGATTCCCGAAACCGCGAAGGGTCCTCAGAAGAGGATGGAGAAGCAGCAGCAGCGGCGACGGTACAGCGAACCATGGCCATGACGGATCCATAGGTTAATAACGCCACGAAGATAAGCGCTGCACTCCCGGTCACGACTCCTAGGACGTTCATAGCTGCAGGCAATGCCATCATGCCCGCGCCAATCATCGTGTTCGAGAGATTAAATATAGAACTCTTTAAGGACGTGGTTCCGTCCTCACGAGCTCGAGTAACCACGCGCGCTAGCGATGGAGGCGGAGGCTGGGACGGAAGGGGCGGCTCGGACGGCGGAGAGGGCGGCGGGGATGGCGGTTCCCTCTCAGGCAACCCATGAGTTGACTCAAACGACTCTTTTCCTTCTTCCTCGTCGGGCAGAAAAGGAACCTTTTCGTGAAGCGACGCGAGGGAGCCGAAAGGTGAGGGTGATCGCTGGACATGGGGCCGGCGACCGGGAGGAATCGCTCGATTTCCGGGAAAGGGGACTTGAGGGGGTCCTGTACGCCGAGCATGCTGATTACTGACGGTCGGAGCAGCACCAGGCCTAGACCCAGGTCTAGTTCCCCTTCCCGGGAGGACAATGTAGGGGTTGACTCCAGGAGCTCGGCCAGGAACAGGAACGGCTCCATCCTCGATATAATCGGACTCTCTGTCCGATGGTGGGAGGCCGGTGAGAGAAGATCCGATGGCAGTTTGCGGGGATGGTGACGGCGATGGCTGGCTAGGACGATAGGGAAGCCCGTAGAAGAAATCTAACGGGCTTCGGCCGCTTAGAAGGGGTTCGGTTATGGGTAAGGAACCGACTAGGTCTTCGAAAGAGTCACGGAACCGGCTGATGCCAGTGCGGTTGTTCGCCATTTCGGAGATTTGTTTTGCCCTTTTTATTGTTCAATAAAAAACAGAACGGCGAAGGTGGTCGGAAGAGAGTGAAGAAGACTCTCTTACAGTATTGTTAGGCAGCTCAATGGAGCCCCTGTAAACTGGAGCTACAGCTCTAGGAAGCCATAGCTCTAAAGAAGGGAAGCGAGCAGCATTGGGAGAATGCCATATTTGTGTGGAAGTGGAAGAACAATTGAAGAAGCATGTCCCATCCCGATGCAGTTGATCGGAGGGGGAATTTGGGGTATTCTCGATGGATGGAAAACGGGCTTCTCTGTGGGGAGCACAAATATATACGGCCAATATCATTGATACTCAAATTATGCCAGGCGCGGTTTGCGAACGTAATCAACTAATATTTTCTCGTTGTAGTAACTACATTTTCTGTTCCATCTAGTTTTAAGCACAATTCAAAAAAAAGTCGCCAGCACCACCTCAAACGCACGCTCCCAGCAAAACAGGAAAGTAACTTAAACGCTTGGATATCAGCCTTAAATGAGTCGCCAAGTGTTTAGAACTATGCCTTCCGCTTTGAGTATCTCAATCAACAAATGACACCGTCCAGCAGAGCTTGCTGCCCGCATGCAATTAAAATTAAACTCCATGCGGAAAGGCATCCAGTCCGGATGGCATCAACCTTAAACACCTTATCGCATGACATTTACGTTTGATGCCTCCGTTACATAACATGCCATTCAATGTGGTTTTAGTTTTCTTCTGTTCTAGGTCAGCAGGTACATGGTCGACCGAGGGTTGAAGGTGCCATCGACCCCATTCCGCTGAATTATTCTCGGTCTGCATCCTTCTCCTAATGGTTTTTTTAACGCAATTTGTGCTTGATACAGTTTTTATTTCTTGAGTCACGCCACGACACAATTGTTCATATTTAACTTAGGTAATCGCGTTTTGTTTCTGTCACATTTCGGAGGTGTTATTAGCGTGAAAGTGTGATTGAAAAGCGAGAACCAATCAGCGATCAGAAATCGAGGTTGAGTACCGAAGCAAACTTTCTCTGGCATACTTTGAGTATCAATGATATTGGCCGCAAATATATATATACATGTTCAATTAGCTAACTTGCTGTGTAGGAGACATACCACGAGGAGCGCCATTCAGCGTTCTCAAATGGGTTGGGTATTGATCAATTTGGTTTCACTTCAACAGGGAAAGCTCTTGGGGTGACTTCAGAAAAATAAATACACAACCCAACCACACAACGCCGTCAATTCGCCGCACCTGATAGCGTCCTCCTCCCTGATTGGTTCACGAATTGCTTTCGCACAACCATGTGGTGTTCTCGAGGCCGAAACTCTCAAGACATTCTGCTCTTCCCTACCCACAAGTTCAATCTGCTCTTCATTTCAACCAGATCCCCTCCAACAACCATCCATTCCACTTCTCTGCTTCCCTTTCCACACACTCGTTTTCCCCAACAAAGCAGCCAGCAACTATCGCTCCATTTTTGGCCAAGATGCCGAAGACATACACTTTGGTTAGAGATCATGTGAAGTCACAGCAGAGAACATCTCTTCTGTGTGGAGCGACGCTCGGCCTCCTTACAATCATTCTCCTGCTTGTTGGAGATGGAGCATTTGAATTCATAAATTCTCAGCCGATGGCTGCTGATACGTGCGCATGTGCAGATGCTACTAAGACACTTCGAATTCCAGTCGTTTACGAACGTAGTTCCAGATTGCTTGTGACAGTTCCGGCAGAGAGAAACGATGAAACGTCAGGAGATGACCCACTTCCACTATATCGACTGAGAGGCGTCACGACATTCCTGGACTTCATGCGGAGGCATTTTGGATCAGATCTTAGCAACGTTACGATGCTGGAGAACGGCAGTGATGTGACCGGGAGCGTTGGAAATGAGCTGGGAAAAGTGGTTGGCAAGTACGTTGGCGTTAACTGCCCTTTTGAAGGGGATGACACTTCGGCACTGAAAGTCAAGCGAATTAACACGATGTTTCTGAGCACCGACTGCAAGACTCTGCCGTTCCTGAACGACACATTTGACGTAGTCTTCAGCGACAACGTTCTGGAGCACGTTGCTGACTTGAAGATGTTTATCAGTGAGACGTTCCGCGTCCTAAAGCCTGGAGGGCTAGTTCTGTTTTTATGGGACCCTGTATGGACGGGACCCTTTGGCCACCACATACACGAAGACATGGTGCAACGACGAGCTACAAGGATGGATGCTTCTTTCAGGTATGTTTCTCACTGCTTTCTTTTCATTGCGTCTTCTTGAGCCAAGTTAACAGGTGACAAAACCTGCAGATATGTGAATAACGGATCCTTCATTCCTCCGTGGGGGCATCTTTTATTGTCCAAGCAACAGCTGAGGACGATCCTAATTGAACAAAACATGGGACCGGTTCCTCTAATAGATGGTATCCTGGAGTTCATTTACACCCAGAAGAACATCAACCGGCTGCCCCTCAGCGAATTTTGGGAGAAACTTCATTCCTTCAGCTGGGTTCCGCTAGATGAGAGCAACCATTGTCAAGGCATTACAAGAACATGGACCAGCCTGGATGGCACTGAACAAGTGGTGCGACCATTACTGACACAAGACATGCTGCAAGCACTGAAGGACCAGTATCCTACAGAAGATCAATTTGACATCGGGCCATGCATATTTGCTGCGAGCAAATAGAAACCCGTTACTGGAAAATTGTTCATAGGACACACTTGATCCCACGGGTACGGGAACTTGAGAACAGCCTGCCTATGTGGGAGATCCCATGAGCTGTAGGCATATCTGCAAAACCACGAAATGCTTGTAGTATCACAGAAGTTGCACTCTGCAGAGACATGATTGGATCCTCAACTTACATGTGGATTGGAGGTTCTGATATGATGACTAGAAGCTGCAGCAAGTTGCAGGACTCTGAGCCACATTCAGGAGCGCTGTTCAGGATCTGCAGCACATATAGTCAAGAATAACTCTTGGAGTGATTCACAGATGGACGCATCTAGAAAGGATAAACAAAACAAGAGGCAAATACCTGATGGACTTGATTAGAAGGCACTATGAAGGTCATATTCGCACTGATGGGACTAGAAACAGGGAGACCTGGTATGCTTTGCTCCTTTTCCCTTTCTGGAGCCTGCATTGTGCCTTGTGCATCAAGATCAGGGACATTTGGAGCAAACAGCAGCTTCCCTGTACCATTAAGGACTACAAACAGCTCCTCACATCCATGTCTGTGAATGGGAGTTCCACTTCCGGGAGCAAAGGTCTGCATCCATACTTCAACCTGATAACAAATCACAGATTTTTTCATGAATATACCAGTGATGCCTACAACCATCGGAAGCGAGCCTATGCAAGTATATGCATACCTCTTGTGTACCATGGTGAACATGGCCCGCAATTGTAGCGTGAGACAACCCAGGGCGGCCAAAGCTTGACAACAGAATTGAATCGATGCTTCTCACAAAAGGAAGACCTGGAAAACAGACAGGGACGGCATGGTGTGTAACTACCAATCAAAACGGATGCTCAGGACTATGTTGAGCAGACAACATACGGAACTACACACGCACCTCACCTGCATGACTGCAGTTTGCCAGCTCAGGCTTTGCCGCAACCACGAGTACTAGAGCATATGCAGCACTGAAGATAGCACAGTGAAGAGAAAGAATGGCGCCTCTATGAAGCATGCTGACGATATCACCCAACATCTTCGAGCAGAGCATCTCATGGACACAACTATCGTCCGTATGGAGCAGAGAGGGAAGTCTAAAGCAGCTACCAAACCTACAGCCACGGAAACGAAATCACTATTTCCGTGCACCCTACTGTACCAATCTGACTAAACCCTGTCGTCCGAAGATAGCGTTCGGCCGGACGCCAACGACGCCGCTTCAGCCGCTGATTTCGCCTCCGCTCTCTGCTTCTCAACTGCCTGCTTCTCAAGATACAGCGATCCCAACACACCCACGAACGCAACCGTGCCGACCAACGCAACCGCCGCGTTCGGCTTTATGAAGAGCTCGGGGTTCAGCACGCGAAAGAGCCGAGTGGATCGCGGGCCCGGGAGAGGATTCTTCGGACCCGCAGGGCCTGCGGCTTCACTGGAGAAGAACGCTGCGGAAGACGTCGTGCCACCCGCACTGATACCCGCGCGACCTGGTGACCTAACTGGATTGAAAATGGTTTCCCGGATAAACCTGGGAACAGGGAAGCGAGTGGACATGGCAGTAGACAACCTGCAAGATCGCTCGGTAATAAATGCCTGCCTACTTTCTCTCGGAGGAAAATAGGAAGCTACGGAATATTGGCGAAACTACTGGCAGGTCTATGCCTGAAAATGTCCAAAGTGGCTCCACCTTTTTTGTTCCCTTTACCGCCCTGAACCGAATTCGACCGCATGTTCGTCTTGTGCTGTGTGTTCTTTCTTTCTGTAAGGAAATTCCCTTTTCCTTACTTCGCGTCCCTGCTCAACGCGTACATCACTGTAGCACCTCAGTCAGCACCGTTACCACTCGCGACCATCGCATCATTCATCATCCCGCCCTTTTCGCACATCGCATCCCGACCTCACGGCTCGGCTGGTAACCCGCGCTCCGGGCCTACGCTTCGACACTTTCCCAACCTCAGTCCCAGGCTCGTCGCGCGACAACCACAGTCCATTACCGTTACCACTATTGCTTCGCTATATAATCCTTCGCTCATGCCTTCGCTCATTTTGTACTCCTGCTTCGATAGTGCAATTCTCGTTCGTTCACTCAATTGCACTCGTAACACTTGGTATTCAGAGCCTACGATCTCATCTCGGACCGCATCCACACCTTCGCTTCCCACTATCTCAATTTTTGGGGGGGGGTAGACGTCTCTCAGCGATACAGCACCGCCGCTCGTAGTGCTCTCTCGGAAGCACGCACGGCCACGACTGAGGCTCTCGCTGAGCTTGCCCGACACCCCTGCCATGGCTGATTTCACTATCGCCACGTTGACGCAGGAGCAACTCGATCGTCTCGTGCGACAGCTGGAGGAATCAGCGCTCGAAATCGCGACGCTCACGGCGGAACGTGACTCCGCCCGTCAACAGTCAACGGTGAACGCTCCGACAACTTCCCAAGCGCCAACCAATGTTTCTGTCCATTCGGAGGAGCCGATTGTTATCTCATCCGGCACACCAACGCAAAACAACAGCACGGGACAGCGCTCAGGCGCAGCCAGTGACGGCGCAGCCCAACCGATGCCCGGCATGGGAGGGAACAGGAATGCATCAAGCCCACGGGAGCCCCGAGAAGCCCGTCGGCACGTGGAGTTTGCGATGACAAGTGGAGGGAACGCCACGATGGCCCCAATGCCACTCAAGCCGCAACGCCCGCCCTGCTTCGACCCAAGCCAACGCGGTGGCCCGACAGTTCAATCGTGGGTCTTCACGATGAACGTGTTTTTCGACGCCAACTACGTCGAGTCGGATGCCGCCAAGATTCGGTATGCAGTTTCACTACTCAGGGGCCCCGCCATGGACTGGTGGCGAGTCATCGTGACATCGCCACGCGCCTACGAGCCACCGCCGCACGAGGAAGGGCCCTCGGGTCCAGCTGTCACCTGGAGTTCGTTCTGCGAAACAGCCCAATATAGCACGTGGGATGCGTGGTGCGCAGGGCTTCGGGCGCGTTTTGAGCCGATCGCGGCTTCTATTTCGGCGCGTCAGAAACTGCGCACTTGGCGCCAGCTCGGGTCGGTCCAAGACTACACCAGCGGTTTTCTCGCACTTTGCGAACAGGTCGGCTACATGCACGAGGCGGAGCGGGTGGACCGTTACGTCGGCGGACTGAAGCCGGACATATCGCACGAGATAATGCTACGCGGGCTATCGAATTTCAACGAAATCCTCGCGCTCGCCGAGAAAATCGATATCCTACGCCGACCGAGACCGGGGTCCTATTTCGGACATCGTCCTCGGGGACTGATCGAGCACGCCACCGTACATGCCGTCGCAACGAATGCAGCTGCCACGCCATTTAGAGGGCGCTGCTTTGCTTGCAACCGGCCGGGCCATCGCAAGAGCGAATGTCCAGAAGAGCTGAGGCGTCGAGGAGCAGAGCAGGGGAAGGAGTCTCAGAGGCAGGGAAACGCCAGCAGTCAGTAGAAATTGGGCCAACTACTGACGAGACTGCCTGCTCGCCCAACCACACCGACCCTCACCGAGTCACAGTACCGATTCACGCCATCGATCGGGCTCGGATGAATCAGGAGGGTACAGCGACGGATTGCCCAGTACTGATCCACGGGAAAATACAGGGAGCAGCAGTCAAGATTTTCATCGACGGAGGAGCTAGCCACAGTTTAGTTAATACCGCAACCGCACGAAAACTTCAACTGACACTTAGCCGATGTTTACCTGAGATTGATGCGCGCTTAGTCGACGGCACGCCGCTGGCCATACGGGAGAAGGTGGAGAGAGTAAAAGTTCGCTGCGGGGGGAACTTCGGGTTTACACAGGAAATGCTCGCGACGACACTGGATGGGCACGACATTTTATTGGGACGTGATTGGTTGCGACGTTACAATCCGAGAATCGACTGGACGACGGGCAGCTGCACTGTGCGAAGTAGTGGTAACTGGGTCGAACTACCACGCTGGCAGTCGCCTGAGTCATCGACGGTCCACGTCAACGCCATCACAATGAAACGAGCAGTCGCCGCTGGAGCTGACGTGTATGCAGTAGACATCGCAGTGGTAGAAAAAGATGAGCAGCCGAGTGATTTCCAGAAATTGCTGACAGCGGTACCGCCGGAGCTACAAGAGCTATTGACACGGTACCCGGGAATTTTCCCCGACGACTTACCGGAAGGACTGCCACCTCAGCGGGCGCACGACCATAGGATAGAGTTAGAGCCGGGGGCACAGCCAACTGTACAGCGCCAGTTCAGACTGACACAGCCGGAACTCGACGAACTGAGGAAGCAGTTAGATTACCTGTTAGCAAAGCAGTTTATCCGACCGAGCTCGTCGCCGTTCGCCGCACCGATACTATTCACACCAAAAAAAGACGGAGGTTTTTGCATGTGCATCGATTACCGAGCGCTCAACAGGGTTACAATAAAGTCACGATACCCCATTCCCCGCGCCGACGAACTGATCGACCAACTGCGAACAGCACGGGTGTTCTCGAAAATAGATCTACGGGGAGGTTACCACCAAATTAGAGTCGAACCATCGGACTGCGCCAAGACAGCTTTTAGAACTAGGTACGGGTCGTTCGAGTACACCGTGATGCCTTTCGGGCTAACCAACGCACCCGCAACATTCCAGATGACCATGAACGAGGCGTTTAGACCACTTTTAGATAAGTGCGTGATAGTCTACCTCGACGACATTCTCGTCTACAGCCGCGATAAGCAGCAGCATTTAGCGGACCTGGAAGCAGTGTTTAAAATTCTCGTGGAGCATCGTTTATTGACTAAGGGGTCTAAGTGCGAGTTTTTTCGGGATAGGTTAGAATTTTTGGGGCACGTTATTTCAGAGGCTGGGGTTGAGATTGACCCGAAGAAGCTGGATACGGTCAAAGCTTGGCACCCCCCGACAAACATCACGGAGCTGCAGAGTTTTTTGGGTTTCGTTAATTATGTCCGTCGATTCGTCCCTGACATGGCCCGCTTAACTGCCCCACTGACGGATCTGCTGCGGAAAGGGGTCGCTTTTACGTGGGGGGAGAAAGAGCATGCTGCCTTCTCTACCCTGAAAACTGTTCTCTGTTCACCACCTGTCCTGCGCATTGCCGACCCACACCGCCCATTCGAAGTCATTACTGACGCAAGCGACATCGCCATCGGAGCCGTACTGTTACAGGATTTCGGGAACGGCCTACAGCCCATCGCATACGAATCACGAAAACTGCACCCACCTGAGAAGAATTACCCGATACACGATCGCGAAATGCTTGCGATCGTGCATGCGTTCAAAGTGTGGCGCTGTTACTTGACCGGCGCAGACGTGACAGTACGGACAGACCACAAATCTCTACAGTACCTCCGCGCACAGCCTCACCTCAACCCACGACAGATTCGATGGCTCGATTTCCTCGAGTCGAATTTTCACTACACGGTCACCTACAAAAAAGGAGCATCAAATATCGCCGATGCACTGACTCGCCCTACTGCCCAGATTCACGCGATACTACTCGCCCAGACCAGCCCACTGCTGACAGGCCTATTTACCCACGGATACCAAACCGACCCGTTCTTTACAGGAGGCAACTCGCAGCAGTTCGCAGCAGCACGAGGGATCTATTACGTAAAGGTTGGGACCGACCGCATTTGGGTACCCGGGTATACACTACTACGGGAATTACTGTTACAAGAGGCACACGACGGAGTTACCTCAGGACATTTCGGGGTAGAAAAAACACGACAGCAGCTGCAGCGGTATTATTACTGGCCAGAAATGTTGACCGACATCCAACGACACGTAGCATCGTGTCCCACCTGCCAGGTCATGAAATCATCACGGAAGCGGCCGGCAGGACAGTTGCAGCCGATCCCACCCCCAGAGCGTGCTTGGCAGCAGGTGACGATGGACTTCGTCACGGGGTTACCGGCCGGGGCGAGTGGGAACGACGCGATCTTGGTCGCCGTCGATCGACTGACGAAAATGGCACATTTCGCAGCATGCAAGAAATCAATCACAGCCGAAGAAACAGCCCGCCTCTTCATCACCACCGTCGTTCGCCTCCACGGGATACCATCGGCAATCATCAGCGACCGCGACACGAAATTCACCAGCAACTTCTGGCGGAACCTGTGGCAGCAGTTCGGCACACGGCTTCAATTCAGTTCATCCTATCACCCCGAAACCGACGGACAGACGGAACGGACAAACCAAACCATGGAGCAGCTGATTCGAGCCACGTGCGACGATCCGAACACGTGGGAACAGCAGCTGCCGCTCATCGAGTTCGCGTACAACAACGCACCATCAGCCACGACGCAACAGTCACCGTTTTACCTGAACTACGGACAGGACCCAACAGTACCCATGACCCCACACCCCGACAATCCAGTCCCACGAGCCCAACAGTTCGCCGAGATTTTGCAAGCAGCACGGACCAGGGCAGCAGACGCAATTAAAAAAGCCAACATCATCGCTAAACGAAACGCCGATCGCCACCGTCGACCTGTCACTTACCAGCCAGACGACCTGGTACTACTCGATACCCAGAACCTCCGCCTGCCCATCACTCCAAAACTTCGCCCCCGATATTGTGGGCCATTTCGCATCAGCCACATGATCACAACCGTCACCGCCCACCTCCTCCTCCCTGCTGACTGGTACGTCAGCCCGTCATTCCACGTCAGCCTACTTCGCCCTTACATACCATCCACGAGCCAACTGCCACGAAATCGCCCAGCCAGCATGACACGTCCCCCAACCGAACCACTAATCACCCCTGAAAAAATCCTCAGCCACCGAGTCCGCAACCCTCGGGGAGCACGACGGATCGAATTCCTAATTCGCTGGAAGGATCGAACGCCCACAGAAGACAACTGGGTCCCCCTGGATAAAATTGAGAACCACCCTGTCTTCACCGAGTATCTGCGAAGCCGAAATTTCCGCGACGTCCATGCGCTCTCGTAAGAGGGGCCTCCTTGGGGAGGGGGGTAGTGTAAGGAAATTCCCTTTTCCTTACTTCGCGTCCCTGCTCAACGCGTACATCACTGTAGCACCTCAGTCAGCACCGTTACCACTCGCGACCATCGCATCATTCATCATCCCGCCCTTTTCGCACATCGCATCCCGACCTCACGGCTCGGCTGGTAACCCGCGCTCCGGGCCTACGCTTCGACACTTTCCCAACCTCAGTCCCAGGCTCGTCGCGCGACAACCACAGTCCATTACCGTTACCACTATTGCTTCGCTATATAATCCTTCGCTCATGCCTTCGCTCATTTTGTACTCCTGCTTCGATAGTGCAATTCTCGTTCGTTCACTCAATTGCACTCGTAACACTTTCCCAGGCTACCCTTCAAGGTCATGTTCTTCCGGTACGTTGCGGTCCTAAGCGGTTAATTTTCGGCATTTTATCGCATATTTAGGGTGCGTCAGATCCGTTGTCGGAAAAATCCGGCCGGCCGGAATTAGCGAAAGTAGCAAGTTTGCGATACTCGCGCAAATTGTCGTCGAATTCGCTAAATCCGGCCATTTGTAAAAAAAAATGATGGCCGGTTCAGCATTCGACAAAGTTCCGACGTGCAGTCGACTCGAAAGTCGACCAATTTGTCGACCTGAGATCGCTACAGTCACTATACGACGTCGCCAGCTCGTGCGACGCAGCGTGTCACACAAGTACTGCATCTGCGACTCCGTCGCACAATCCGGCCACTCTAGCGAACTGAAAATCTGACACATTTGCAAAGCGGCCTGCAAATCGGCCACCAAATGTGTCATATTTTTCGGCCCTGTAAATGTGGCCGGATATTGGTCGCTTTTTATGTCTACCATGTTGTCGACTTTGGCGAAAGATACAGTCGACCAAATTGTCGACAAAATTCCAGCCAAATCACATTGTAGCGGATCTAACGCACCCTTATTCACTCAGCAAGTTAGCACTGGGAATCAACAAACGACGCAGACAAGGCCGCACCTTTCCAAGTCGCTTCGTCGTCTCCCAATATTCGCCTCCGTTTCCTCCTCTCAATCCGTTGCGCAAAGCAATAGATGGTTCCACTCTGCTCTCCCATACACGTTCTTAGAGGCAAACTCCTTGTCCGTACATAATCCATTACCGTCCAGTTCACACCGTTTGATATCCAGATATTTTCCCTTCTCTCGTCAACTCTCAACTACTACCTAGTTTTGCCATCTGCAAGCGTCGTTTTCCTGCTCGTTCCCCATATTAATATTATCATTATATATTGTTAGCATCTACCTAATTTTCCGCACAAGAAGCTGACGACGACTCCGTGGAAATGGCAGCGACCACGCCAAAAAACTCGACAGAATGTGACGCTGCGGACGCCGCTAACGAGGGCAAAATTAATGTTCCAGAACCTGGAGCTTGTGATTTAGTACCCTCTAGTAATACAACGTCGGAATATGGTCCCTCAAGCAGCTTGCTGCAGCGATTCTCCACCAAGATAAGGAGCAAAGTGACAGGCATGGGTAGTATGATAAAGGAGCGTGGGAATGAGCGAAACAGCGGAGACGGCCGGCGGAAGAAGAAAGGAATGGCTGACGTGGCAGTTGTAGCAGAAGGAAAAGAAGGTGGAAGGGAAGTGTCCACAGAAAATGCAGCAGCGGAAGGATCAGAAGGAGCCGGAGGTGGAGGGGGAAGAGGAGCGGGAGGAGGGTCGGAATGTGGTGGACGAGAAGGAAAGGCCGAAGGGGACGTTGCTACATTGCAAAATAAATCCAATCCGGGTGCTGCTCCTGATTCGCTTTCAGGCGCTGACGTGGCACGGTCGGTCATTTCCTCACCCCAGGTCGACCCCCGAGCCAGAGCCCGCTTCCTCCGCCTCTTCCGCTTCCACCACTGGCTCTCCAGCCAATCACAGAGCTTGGGCGAATCCTCTGTGCTGACAGAGCAATCCAGCCAACCGTCCAGAGACCCTCAATCACGACTGCAGCTGCAGCAGTCAGCTCTTGAGGCGCCTCACATATCGCCTTCAGATCCTAGTTCATGCCAGCAACCAGCAGCGGGACTGTCACTTTATGCACCTGTTGCTCCTGAAGGCATGTCAGAGCTTGTGATTGTAACGAAACAGCCTCAGGCTTCAGCTCTCATGCCTTCGTTTGAGCAATTCTCCCATGGTGCCTATGCATCCCCATCACCTACGCAGTCCAGCACACCAAGTGCAGGAATAGCATACATTCCTTATAACGGAGCGCTGCCCTCTCCAGTTGCCTATAGCGGATCATTTCGCATCCCACCCAGTGCCCTGCTTCCTTATGCCCGTGGAGGGCCGTTGATATCCTCCCCTACCATATATACTTCCTCTCCTCCTCCTGGTGTTACCGTTGGTAACCTCTCTGCATCTGCCTCGACTCCCGGCGCTGTCTCTGCCGTTTCTTCTGCTACTCCTTGTGCATCATCCTATGATGCTTCCTCTGGAAGAGACTCGCTTAAAGAGTTACTGAATCAGGGCAAGATGCGCAGGCAAGATGCGTTGGACTTGCTTCGGATGTACCATGAAGCTGCGGCAGCTCCTGGCCCATGGGAGAATGAGCCCTTGCCTCCAGAACTGAGTGTTTTAGGTGCTGAGAGTGATAGAGGGGATGTTGTCGGTGTTGATTCGGATGATGGGAGTGGTGGGGTGTTGGAGCAGGAGAACGCGGTGGAGAATAAGGAGGGGAAGAGAGATGCATTAGTGGGCACAGCAAGTAGGGACGAGAGTCGGGACAAGGAAGAGGAGGATAAGGGGGGGAACGCGGTCAGGGAGGTGAAGCAGGAGGTGAACGATGAGGATGGGCAGGAAATTGCGGACGATTGGTCAGATGGGGCGTTGGAGGAGGAACTGCAGGAGCTTCAGCTTGTGGCTGATCTACACTACCTACTACAGCAGCAGCAGCAGCATGCAGGCAGCGAAAACAGGGCCAGCTATGACAACGGCAACGAGCTTCTGGTCACTGTTTCAGAGACAGCTTCTGTGGGTGGGGGATATGGGAAGGTGGGTTTTCAGGAGCCGCTGCGGCCAGCATTCTATGATGCGGCAGAGGATGGAGAGGGTGGATATACGGAGCAGTTCGCTCAACTGAGGGTACATGCCGCTGCCAGCGTTGGCCGTGCTGCCAGTGTTGCCAGTGCTGCCACCTCTGCTCGTGCTGGCCGTGTCGCTAGTGCTGCTCGTACAACCAGCGTTGCTCGCGTTGGCAGCGGCGCTGCCAGTGCTGCCAGATTGCGGCCTGTGCTGCCCGCGGCAGCAGAGGATGGCGCTGGGTCTACAGAACAGCCTGTTCCATTACAGAATCATTCTTCTAGTGGTGCTGCCAGTGCTGTCACTTCTTCTACTGCTGCCAGCGCTTCCAATGCTGCCAGCGCTGTCAGCGTGAGGCCTGTGCTGCCAGCCTTATACGACGCAGCAGAGGACGGAATTGGGTTCACAGAACAGTTCGCTCAAATGAAATTGAAAGCGAAGGGACGACGGGAAGAGGAGTTCTCTAGTATTGCCACTGCTGTCACTTCTTCTACTGCTGTCACTGCTGCCACTGCTGCCACTGCAGCCACTGCTGTCACTGCTGCCACTGCTTCCTCTGCTTCCTCTGCTGCCACTGCTGCCACTTCTTCTACTGCTGCTACTGCTTTCAACGCTGCTGGTGCTGTTAGCATGAGGCCTGTGCTGCCAGCCTTGTACGACGCAGCAGATGATGGGATTGGGTTCACAGAACAGTTCGCTCAAATGAGAGTGAAAGTGAAGGGGAGGCGGGATGAGGAGTTTTGAGTCAACTCAGAGGTCGACTCACTATTCAGCATGAGGCCTGTGCTGCCAGCCTTGTACGACGCAGTAGAGGATGGGATTAGGTTCACGGAACAGTTCGCTCATATAAGACTGAAAGTAAAGGGGAGGGAAGAGTTTTTCTAGTGGACTCAAAGCTCCCTTCCCTGGTTGAATGCGAAGGGGAGGCTGGAGCAGGAGGGAGCGAAGGAGCTTGAGGTGTGTCAAAAAGAGGTGAAGAGCAGTTTTTTGAGTTATATGGGTGAGGAAAACAGTTACAGTAATGGTAAGCACAAGGATATGCAGTATGCCAGGATGCTAGTGGGTGAGAGGATGAAGGAGGGCGAGTGGTACGGTACACAAAAAAGAAGGGAGATGGAATAGCTAGGAGGGGGAACACGGGGAGCGAAGCAGGAGAGATGCGCGAGAAGAAGAGTTGGAAACAGAAAAATAACTGCCGAGGCTGACTAAATTTTTCATCTGATGTGATGCTCTTGAAAATTATGCGAGCAGCACTCAGCATGGTGCTGAGAAGAATGTAGTGGCTAGGATGAGTACAGAAATGTTGGGTTGTATATTGGAGATATATGAGTGTATTTCTGTGCTCTGGTGCTGGGATGTCTGTGTTGTTAAAATTTTCTCTATGGCCAGAAAACGATTGTTCATTTTTACCGAGTCTATGTCGTTTGTTACAATGACTTTAACAGCGTACACTTCACTGGCTGGTAAAAATGCAATCGCTTTTTTTAGCAAGACAAACTGTATCGAATCTGTCGCTTCGCTCAATCCTTGCACGTCACACTCACAGGTGGTCGCCTTTGTCGTTGTCGTCAGTCTAGCTGACGGCTGCTGTTGCTCGCCGTCGCACGAACTGGTGCTCGTGACCCTGGTTACACGGGCTTGCGAAAATGCTGACATTCGCGAAACGGTAAGCCAATCGGGCTCCTCCCTGCTTCTCAGCTTTATTCGAGGTTTCGCCAAGGTTCCGTATTTCCTGCAAAGAAAGTGCATTTCAAGACAAGCACAGTCCTCCCCCCACCTCATCAACATTCCGCATCCGCTCCTTTGTGATTCAGATGCTTAGGTAAACACCTTCTGTTTCAAGCTTCTCTGCGCAAATGTACTTGGATAAGCGTTCTAACCAGCTCCGTTGGCACGACAGCTGGATCACTATTGAGAGGGAACGACCAAGTCTTTTGACTCCCCCATTTCCCGCGTAAATTCCTTTTAGACGAGTCGCACCATCAACATTGGGTGGGAGAAGCGAGAACAAATAAACGAGGAGTTACTTGATCGGAAACATCGAGCCGCGCATTTCTCCCCACTCCCAACCAGCACCCAACCCCTAGCGCACCAAACTCAACCGTGGCGCAAAGCCTCTGCATTTGCGCACTGCGCTCACGCACGGGCAGACCACCACACGCGATGACGGCCTGGTGCGGGCAGCCGAAAGTCCAGGAGTCCCCTTTGGGTGACTGCCCTGCACAATTTCCTCGCCTGGCGATTCGCGTGTGCGGAGAGGTTCGCGGCGAGGGAGACCCCTTTCTCGGGGGTGGGGCAGCTGAAGCGGAAAACACAATGTGCGCAAGTGCGAAGCGAGGCGAGGCGACTCAATTTCGCGAACGCCGAAGCGATCATGGGGAGGGCGATCGACGCGAACACCTGGCGCCGTCAAACATCAAAATCCGCATCTCAATTTCAGAATGTCCGCCTGTCCGTCAGCATCATATTACTCCCCCCTCCCCACACTCGACTCCCACAATTCACTCCTGCTATCCCTCTCTCGAACTTGAGCACTTGCCCACCAGTGCTTGTCAACAACAATCGCTATCCATTGACATAGAACAGCCGCGCGCCTTGCAGCATCGTCGTCCCCATTCGCATCTTCCTAATATTCCATTCACGTAGCACGCATAACACGCGCTCATGTTCAACCTTCATCGACGCAGTCCTTTGTGTTAACGAGCTAGCTCCTCACCTCCAAGGATTTGCTCGACTTTTCGTAGCCTTTTCCGCACCAGTGGAAGTATTAGCAACTATTAATAATTTGGAATAATGGGGAAAGGTGGTTCTCTCCCTCCTGCACTGATCGCACAGCCCAAGAGCTACTCGGGCCTTTCGACGCTCGAAATTGAGCCAGACACAACTGCCGAGCGGCCCCGGATACTCGGTATCCTCTCCAGCATCCTCGACCATGTGGTGTCACGTAACGAAGCGAAACAGGCGAAATCCGGTAACCGCAAGTTGACGGTTTTTCACGGGCTTCGCGCGCCGGCAATCACCGTGGAAAAGTACCTGGAGCGGATATTTAAGTACGCCAACTGCAGTCCGGCGTGCTTTGTCGTGGCGTATGCGTACATCGACCGTATCTTGCAAGAGCATGACGACATGGTGATCACGTCGCTGAATGTGCATCGCCTGCTCATCACCTGCATCATGGTCGCCGCGAAGTTTCTCGATGACTCGTAAGTGGTAACAACCGTCATGAACGATATTATTTCGCGCAAGTTGTCATTCGCGTCCGTCACCACATTCTTGTTCTTGTCCTCTCGGATACGCAGCCTCCGCATCTAGTGACCACAGTGTTATCTGATAACGTCATTCATAATACCTCATGCTATTTTGCTCTGCTTCGCTAAAGCATTATCTTTCTCCACATTCTTTACACTCTCTCTTACAGGTACTTCAATAACGCGTACTACGCCAAGGTCGGAGGCGTTACTACAGCCGAGATGAACCGTTTGGAGATGGAGCTTCTATTTCGCATGGACTTCCGTTTGAACATTACAACGGACGTCTTTTACGCGTACTGCAAGCGGCTTGAAGCGGAGATTTGGAATTCGCGCCCACCTTTCGAGGCCACGTTGGACGTCAACTCGTTATCCATGCTGAAGCCGCCCGGCCACCTGGCACGCGTGCAGCCTTGCCACGTGGAGGTGCAAAAAGGCGTTCGGACACCCCCGCGAGAGGTGGAATCGTACCGGTATCCGTCAATGCGGGCGAGAACGCTCGTGAACGGGTCTCCTTGACGGTCGGCGTTAACGTTTTGACAGAACTGATATCGCTGACGGATGATGGCAGGTGGCGGCACAAGGGGATGGGCGCGTCAAGTGATTGCGCTCGTCCATACATATACGATCTTGACAAGATACACTTGCTCACTTACTATAGTCGAGTGCACTAATGAGTAGATTCCTTAAGACTTGTAGATGTGTAGGAATCCTCGTAAGGGGAGAGGAGCCTGTTGATGTTAGAAATCTAGAAGCTGGGGGAAAGCATATGATGTAACGTCGCATCATATTCGGCGCCATTCAGACACAGGAACACAATATGTGGCTGTCTGATTGGGATGCGTGTTATGTGCTGTGAAGCACGGAAGGGCTGGAGGACATAAGGCGACATCATGCGGCGTAGCCATGTCACACTTGAATTCGGAGAGACTCTCTCCTTGTGCTATATTTTCCCTTGGTTTGTGTAGACTAGCAATTGAAATCCAAATAGTATTACCACGCTTATTCCATAATGATTTCAAGAATTCTTCACGAATGCTTTCTTTCACTCCAGTTGCAACCTTAGCCATCACTGTCCAGGCAAATGTCCATGGTAGCCACTAACAAGGATTGTTGTCGTTACAAGAATAACAAATGAGGCAGCGCAGCTGGCTTCATCTAAAAAAACTACTTTGCTTCCTTCCGCTTCCATTCGTTGAACCAGACTAAATTGAGTTCCCTCTCAATAAATTTCATGCACCTGTGAAGGTAAACAAACATGGTTTCTGTGACTTGTGATCTCGCAACCTTGTATTGGTTTATGTACACTACAGTTATGCAGCTGCACTGGCTCGTTCTTGGGTTGTCGCTGTATGGAAAGTGACACATCGGCGTCGATGCGCAAACTTTTGGTCCTGCCTGTCGTTTTCCGCCACCGGCGGGCAAATGCTTCGCGGGCCTTTTCACACCACGTCCTCACATTTGCGTGTCCGTTGGCACAAATTGCTCCCCTGATTTCTGGCGCAAAGGTCATCCCTTGCTTTCGCCGTCATCGTTAGAATTGAGCTGTGGTCGCTGCTCAGCTCCTTCTATCGCAGGCTGTGCTCTAAAGGAGGGCAATGCGACTCGATTCGGGGTTGGGCGACAGCGAAACTCATGGTTCCTGCCACGTAGGCATGAAATGTTCCCCGAATGCATACGACAGAAGTCACTGCGTCTCATCATCGAGACGCTGTGGCGTGAAATGGATGGCTGGCGAACCCAACGGCACCCTGGTCAGGGTGCGCAGGGAACAGCTGGGCACGTTCCAGCCATGTCGCAGGCCAGCTGTTGCTGGGAAACCCGAAAACATCCCCCCCAAATGCGACTCGCCTACAGAGAGGGATGGAAATGTCTGCCAGCCTGTCACTTCCTTCTCTTTCCTTTCCAGCATCTGAAAGAAAGGAAGGGTACGCGCTGTGGGACCAGGAGGCCATGGTCAGCCAATCAGCGGTAGCTGTGTCCAAGGGACCAACCCGTGGTCGAGGCAGAGATTTTCGAAAGTGGGCACTGGCGGGTCGATTGACGGCAGCGCTTCGATCTCATCGCATCACACGCATGCGCCTCGTTTCATTTCACAATGTTGTCGCTGCGAGTTTTGATACTCTTAGTACCCCTCCCGCTCCCCTTCCGACCAATCAGCCCTCCATCATCGTGCACACCCTGCGTTTCATCTCATCCTCCTCCTATCACCACGACACACACTGTACATAAAGCCTCCAGCTATGACACAAACCAGCCAATCAAACTTCTTAAGCCGTTTCATCTCTCCCCATTCGACACCTCGATTTTCCCAATCTCCAAAAGATCGTAATTTCATGCTAGGTTTCAGACCGTCGATCGTGAATCGATCCATTCGATGCATTCCACGTGGATAGCGGTAGCCCTCGTCTTTTGCCAATGTCAGACAGAGAGTTGTTGAGAGAGAGGCAGACTGTCCGCCAGGCGAGCCAGAGAATCAGAGCCCGAGAAGCAGCG